TGAAATTGCCAAAAACTTAACAAAATGTAAAGCCAATATTCAAAATCAGAAAAACCAGAATTTTTACTAAAAATCATAAATTTAAGACATCAGAAATCAGAAACATGAAGTCAATGTCCAAAAATCAGAAAAATCAATGTCAAACTCGGAAAATTTTCATGAACCCAGAAGATTCTTCCAAAAAACAATAAAATCAATGAAAATAAATCAGTTATTTAAAGTGAAGAATAGAGGAGAACGAAGAAGAATAAGAAAAAGGAGGAGGAGAAACCTGGAATTGGCGATGGTGGAAGCAGAGGCGGCGACAAAGAGGCGTGGAATCGGCGGTGACAAAGAGGAGAGGCAAATTCCACGGCGTTGGCAGCCCTTGTTGTCGGCAAAGAAAAACCATAGAGGTGAGCTGCGCGAGAGGAGAGCCACAGGCGTGAGGAGACGAATGGGAAAGCTAGTGTTTTGATGTTGTTATATAGGAGGGTATAATAGTAATCCAAAGTCCTATTTGTGCATTTATGTTTAGTTTTAGTCCTATATAGCGTAATTACTAATATATCTTCCAGCCTATTACTTAAAAGTCAAAACTATGGCTGTTGCATTTCTTGCTGCTTACTAATTTTTTGTGTGATGTGCAGTTACCACTTGCAAGTGATGTCAACTTAGACGCATTAGCAGATATGACTGATGGGTTTAGCGGAGCTGATCTTCAAGCTCTTCTTTCAGATGCACAGCTTGAAGCTGTTCATGAACTCCTGAATGGTCAAACTGGTACCCAGCCTTGCAAGGTGCCTATAATCGATGATGCTCTTTTGAGACGTATTGCGCTCGAGGCAAAGCCTTCTGTTTCAGACAATGAAAAACTGCGGTTATATGACATCTATAGCCAGTTTTTGGATTCAAAAAGATCAGTTGTCTCTCAGGTCTTCTTCCTTATAGGTCTTAATTAATTGTGTGTCACAATCCCCTTCCCTGCCCACCAAACCTTTGTAGCAAAGGTGAAATTGCTCACCCTGAGCACTCCCCATTCCTTCGCCAAGGCATGAGACCAGATAAATTGGTGTACGGAGTGGCCTCTTTGGTGGAAGCTAGAACTCTGGGCTTTACCCCAGAGAGTATTGACCATCGGCTTGTACCAACTCTCATCCTTACTTGCTTGGATAATACCATTATCATAATGGTGTAAATGAGGGTTTAATCCCTGGTCAAAATGAGTAATACCTCTCCATGTTATATTGCCCATGTAGTGAATTTGTTTTACAGACTAGAGATGGAAAAGGAAAGAGAGCCACACTTGCCTGAGGATCAAGTTACAACTCAGAAGTCTACAACGCAGGAACTACACATGGAAATGTGAATTCCTGGCTGAAGATTGCTGCATTTACACTGTAATTATGTAATAAACTATAACTTCTGTGTTACTTGCATGTCAAAAGTCGCTGCTAACAGGGTCATTATCCAATATCTATTTTATGATAATTAATAAATCATCAAGACTTTGTAATCTACCCGCAGGTTTGGGAAAAATAAGATTACAAAATCAGTCTAGGTTTGGAGGCATGAAAAGAGATTTAGGGGCATGGAGGATGAAGAAGAAAATGACCTTGAATCCAAAGAAGATTTACTTTCCGACAAAAGTTCATAATAAGTGAAAGTTAGAATGTTTATGATTGTTGGGATTTGTTGCTACTTTTTTTTTGGAGAATAGAGGAATTTTATTGACAAGGAAAAATAAACAGTACAGAGAATTACTTCATTATTTTATTCATATCTAAGAATTACTCCCTCCATCCTCCTGCAGTTATTTAGTGGAATTGTGTGGGTTATTTTGAATTGATAAAGTGTGTGAATAAAGTAATAATGGATTTAGGCATGGACGCAACCGGGCCGAACCGGACCGGAACCAGCCCGGCCCGTTACTGTATGGGCCCGGACCGGACCCGGATGGCTGCTTCCGGGCTTTAGCCCGGGTTGGGCGGGCCGGTTCCGGGCCCACATTTATATGAACCGGACCGGCCGGTTCGGGGCGGTTCCGGGCCTTTTTTTCAATTTTTTTCTTTTCCTTGGGTAGGGCTGGGTGTTTTGGGGAGGTTTGGGGGGTGGGGGCTGGGGAGGGGGGTCGGGGGATAACAAGAAAGCCAAAAAAAAATTATACATTGAACCGGCCTGGTTTGGCCCGGACCCGGTATCAACCCGGACCGATTACGTGCCCAAGTATTTGAAAAAAAAGCCCGTCCGGGTCCGGACCGGTCTGGGTCCATCCCTAAATGAATTATAACCACTCAAGTAGTACCAAATATGATATACTCATGCTCTTTGGATAAACATATTTGATAAATCTCGACACCAAAAAGAACAAAGAAGAGGTGGGTGGATAAGAAAAGTGGATATAGTATCTCCATTCATGCTCTTTAGATAAACATTTTCTATGCCACATCAATGCCACATGAAAAGTCTGAAATAATCTTAAAACTTTTTAAAATCCTCTCAACCATCATCTTTAATTATTACTCCCTCTGTCCCTTAAAGTTTGTCACACTTTCCCGAAACGGATGTCCTAAAATGTTTGTCCTACTTTTTCAACTTCCTTATTTGGTAAACAAATCTATACCAGTGTCAAACAGTGTCGCTACAGTGTGAAACAATGTCGTTACAGTGTAAAGTCAAATTTATCTCCTTAAAACTTGTGAAGTCAAACTATGACAAACTAGGGTTGGATTCGGTTCGGGCCACCCGGCCCGGTACTGTGCGGGCCCGGTCGGGCGGTTCGGGACCGGGTATGGGCCCGAACCGGTGGGAAGGGGCGGGGCGGGCTCGGTGCTGGAATAATGTGACCCGGCCGGGTCGGGCCTGGGCCCGGGTCCGGTTTTATTTAAAAAAAAAATTTTGTTTGGTTGGGCTACTAGCCGTTTGGGGTGGGGGTGGGGACAACCCAAACGGCTATATAGCCGTTGGGTGGGGTAAAGGGGGGATCCGGGGGGTGGGGGGTAAAAAAACCTATAAATACTCCTAATCTTAAACATTTTTTCGTATCTCTTCTCCAATTCTTCCTAAATCCTATTCTTAACTCTCTACTCTCTAATTCTCTTATTCTCCAATATATTATATTTATTATTTATATATCTACTTTATAGTTTATACTTAAGAAGTTAAGATGGAAAATCAAGATGACATTATACGGTATAATTTTGATAAGCAGAAGGACCCGAAGACCGGGATGTGGTACGCAATTTGCAAATGGTGCGAGAAAAAATGTAGCATGGGGGCTTCAGGCGGATTCGGGATGGCAATCAAGCATATGAAGTCATGTGACAAAGCCAAAGGATCGGGAGGTGCGGGAAGTTCCGATTGATTACAATTTTCAAAATGTTTCTCTTAAAGTTTGTTTTAATTTTCAAATGTAGTTCCTATTTCATTTCAAATAAATGCAATTGAAGTTTGTTTTTAATACTCGTATAAAACTATAAACTATAAAATATAAATTATAAAAAAAAAATTAACCGGCCCGGTCCGAACCGGACCCGACCCGTGACCCGGGCGGGTGTCCCGGCCCGAACCGGACCCGTCCAACCCTCGGGCCGGTCCCGGGCCCATGTCATACAACCCGGCGGCCCGACCGGGCCTAGGCCCGGTCCGAGTCCATCAATGTGACAAACTTTAAGGGACGGAGGGAGTAGATTATTTGTGGGACATACCCTAAACAAACTTTATATACACACGAACATAAATATACACATCATCACTGGAAACTTTCTTAAGAGCATCTCCATTCATGATCTCTAATAATCAACTTTTCTATGATTCTTACCATTTAAAAATTATTATGTAATTAATTTTAAAAAATCTCAAAATTCGTTTCTCTCAATCATAATCTTCCTGCTTTTTATATGTCCTGCATTAACCTCTATTACATATACTTTTCAAATAATCTTAAAATAATCTGGATTCATATTTTGATCCCGGATTATTGTAGTAAATAATCCCATTATACAATCTATGTCGCTCAATGATTATTTTCTAAAAAACTGACATGTTACCAATTTAATCTCATAATAATTCTACCAATAAGGATGCCCTAACCAAAAACATGTTTAGTGCATATGCAATTCCTCTTTCCAGTGTTTTTGTATTTAATGCTTTTTCTATTGGTACCATATTTTTTTAGAAAATAATTTTTCCAAATAATCTTATCTTATCAATCATAATCTCAAATAAAATAAGCCACATCATCCAATTAATCTCTAAATAATCCAAACAATGAGGATGTTCTTAAGGGCTTTTTTTATTACCAATAATAGAAATGTTGCAATTATTTTGAAATTGTAAAAAATGTGTTATAATTATTTAAAAACAGCTTAAATATTAAAATAATTTGATTTTAAAAAACCAAAACCCATGATCAGGAAAGGTGTCATGATAAAATGCCTCGACATTCTATGAGATGCCTGGAAATAGTTGACGTGATTTTAGTTGTGCAACCTACAAACAGACCACCGTATGAATCTTTGTGCAATCAACAGACAAGCAATTTAACGGTCTGTCTTTATCACCAGCTTGCAGATTTATATATGAACAAATGAAGGCAAAGGGAATAAACGTCAAAATCTAGTAGTCATTTATTAAGAAAACCTCTTATTAGTATGGCAGTGTGTTTTTTACGAACAATGTTAGACTCGATTACATGGTAAATGTAGTAAAGTTTGAGGTTGTGGAGCATTTATTACTCGAAGGGAACCATTAGCTTTAGATTGATCTATTTGATGACATTGTTCATGCATTTTACTTGTCTTTGCTTCATTTTTTGGCAAATAAAACAATGACATATTTACATTGAATGATTGAAGCTTATAATGCTTACATCATACATTTCTATCACAAAAAAAAAAAGACTAAACGTGCCAATCCTATGGCCCCACAATACGGTCATTCATATATAGTTATACGTTATATTAACAGTGGCAGCCAATGTGGCAGTTGAAGCCGAGCAGCAAAAGTCAAGAAAAAATTAATAGCCAAGTTCAAGGATTAGAAATTTAGAACAAATGAATCAGATAAATTATTTCCCATTTATGCTTCATCATGGTCTAGAAAAATTGATCCCTCGTATTCTCCATGATGTCCCTGGGCTTGGGGTGGGGGTGGGGGGGGCAAAATCGTATTCAGTAGCTTAACCTCAAAGTTACAAAATACATTTTTGTAGTTCACGTTCTAGCAACTGACAACCAGCTTTGCATGATTTTACAACGGAGGAAACAATTCGCCGTTGTAGGTCTTTAAATTCAACCGCAAGCTTTATATCCCACCCTGCGTTAACCCTGTAAAAGTAGAGAAATGTTTGCTTAGATCAGTCGCATTTGTATCTCTTCTGAAATGACATCACGGAGGCTGGTATCTACTTACTGCTCATCGATATCAGCATCTCCAAGTGATTCCATCATTGCTTCAAAGGTCAAGCAAAGATCTCCAAGTATTTCTAGTTCAATTTCCAAGTTTTCAGGTGTCTGTAAGCAATCAATGGTTTTAAGCAAATTTTTCATACATCGATGCAAAAGATATGCAGGCGCATAAACTTCAAAATGACTATGTCCATGTGTCAGACACACAGACATGTGCTGGACACACCACATGGCCTTTAGATGACCAGGCATGCGATCAATGGGTTAGGAGACAGTCGACATCTAGGGCACGATTGGGTCACTCCTGAGATCCAATTATTGTTTAAATAGTGGTATTTTAATTTATTTGAACTGAATACTTGTTGGTTTTGACATTTATTTATATATAAACACTGGCTATTTACACTTTGTTATAAAAAAAATTTAACCTATTTTATCATGCTGCGTCCTTGGCTTATATGTTATTATTATCACTCCGGTATTTTAATACTCCGTATGTAATATCCCCTTGTCACCGTATCAGTACTTAGGGGAAAAGACAAGAAAGGGCTCCAAGAAAAATCATAAACACAAGAGGTGAAAAAAGGAAAAGGAAATCACCAGGGCTACTGTTTTTAATGAAGCACACTGAGCTCTACGCATATGATCCAATAAAGGAAATGGCAATCCATAGTGGAAGATTCCATGGTTTTTTGAGAACCATGTACCCCTCACCATGTGCGATGTCCAGCCAGGGGTAAATCCCCCCTCCTCAAAACCTTCATCCATGACAGTATCAATATCTGCTATATAATACATACTTTTAACATTCTGAAGCACAAAGAAATTATCTCAAATGTACACGTATGAGTAGCAAAGCTTACCAAGTGGGATAACATCATATGGATTTTCTAGCCGTGGCAAGAAACCATAGAAAGTAAGTAGATGAGAACTGGATAAGTTCCCATAGCTTAAAAAACATTGTTCTCCTTTGCTGCATGGTCTTGATAAAGGAAACCTCAAGGTATTTGTTTTAGAATCAATTTTGCCGTAGTTCACTACGTGTGCAAACGTCTGTTTAAATAAATAAATAAATGAATGAAATCAGCATGCGAATTCTTTTGCATGTTACCACTTAGCTACACTCAATTAGTAACAAAAAATGATGACATTGTCATATCACGTAAAAAATACAATTCTGGTGTCATTTAACCAGATCAACCCACACAGGTTATCACAGTTTCAGAGGTTGAGCCTTGGGTGCATAATATTTTTTACCATATCCTCAAGAAGCCATATAATCATCACTATCACTTATCACTTTTGTCAATGGGCCACGAACTCTGGCAGTACGGGCATATTGTCCATCAACAACCAAGCAACCACCTAGAGCTCTACAGTTAAACCTAGACCAATAAATGTTCAATAAACTAATAAGCTTGCTTATTCAATAATTTCTTCGGGTCGTGAACTGGGCATCAAGGAGCTGAAGAATAAGGCGATAACTATGCTACAAGGTCTTTTCAAGTGAAAAGAATGCATTTACTGTTAAATTTGTGGAGTGCATACACAACTTCAGGAATATTTTGCTAGTATTTGTAGCATGTACTTCTTTAAGGTGACTACTGCTCGAATTGCCCCTTTTGACTGCACATTTCGAGTTCTTATAGCGAATGACTGGCATTGTACTAAAAATAAGGTTTAATTCATGTAAAATAGGAAAGACGTTTACTTACTAGTTTACAGAATTGAAAAAAACAAGTTTACTTCAACGGTTGGCGATCACTGCCACTGGTTGAGACCCGCCACTACAGACAACACCTTTTCTTGCCAGTCACCTCCACCATTGTTGGCACCCCATAAGGCTGTAACCATGACTGGCATTGTGTTTACAAACTAGAATATAGGAATATTCTTACATGATGCTAAATAGGAAACATTATTACTTAACTAGTTCTTAGGATTTTAAAAACAAAAACAAGTTTACTTGACTGGTTTTCCAAAAATATAAAACAAGAAGCTATTCTTCAACTTTCTGGAACTTTGAGTTTTGCCATAACTTTGACTTGAAACTTGATCTAGCACAGCCATGATCAACCATGTAATATATGGTTGTATATCATCAAGGGGCAAAAGGATGGAGTAGATGCACTCTCACAGGTCATTGAAGCTTCCAAATCAAAGTACCCTAAGACTTCCGATGGGGAAGAGATAGTTAAGAACTTAATTGGCTATATAATTTGTTGAACTCATTGTAAAACAAAGAGACTGATGGACCGCCCAAAGAATTACACTGAATGCAGCTACACATGAGTTATAATGATAGAGAGAGAAATATGCACAGCTTCACCAGCTTGAACTTTATGCTTTGAGGATGGATAAGGACCAAAAATACAATAGAGCTAGAAAATGGACTTTGTTACCCTTCAGCTGAACCCTGATTTGTTGTAATTCTAGCTCATAGCTGTGATCTCCAAAAAAAACTCTAATAGAAAATTACAAGTAAAACGGGGGGAAACTTAATGTTTTGTGGATAGTTACATGATTTGGTGAAAGGTCACAAAGATGGCTCTAATATCATGTTAAGAAACGAACAACAACAACAACAACATCCAAGCCTTAATCCCAAAAGAATTTGGGGTCGGCTAACATGAATCGATCTATGATATCGATGCCAAAAAGAGAAGGTGGACAAGAAAAGGAAAAAAAAAAGTAAGATAAAATGAATAAAATAAAGATAAATAAATATAAGATAACAATAACACAAGAATATGACAAAGATAAAAGAAAAAAATAAAAGAGCATAAAAAAGCTAGAAGATAAAAATAACATAAGAATATAAAAAGATAAGGAAGATAAACGATAAAAGAAACAAGAGAGGAAAGGTAGACAAGACATCAATCGTCCACATGGATGTGCGCCCTCCACTTTGCTCTCTCCAAAGCCATACTCTCATCCAACTCAAGAAGACGCATATCATTTCTGATTACTCTAATCCAAGTATGTTTGGGTCTTCCCTTCCCTCTCTTCTCTGCCTCTTCTCCCCACCCCTCAAGTCGTCTAACAGGTGCATCACTCGGTCTTCTATGCACATGCCCAAACCACCGCAAACAAGACTCCTGCATCTTATCTTCTATAGGTGCTACTCCCACCTTTTGTCTGATTACCTCATTCCTCAGGCGGTCTTTTCTGGTATGTCCATACATCCAACGCAACCTACGCATCTCTGTCACACTCATCTTTTGAATGTGTGATTGCTTCACCGCTCAACACTCTACGCCATACATTAATGCCGGCCTAATTGTTGTACGATAAAATTTACCTTTCAGTCTAGTCGGCATACCTCGATCGCATAGAAATCCTGAAGCACTTTTCCATTTCATCCACCCAGCTCTGATTCTATGACATACATCTCCATCTAATTCACCATCCTTCTGAATTATGGATCCCAAGTAACGGAACATATCACACACCGGTATCTCCTTACCATCAAGAGTAATCCCACTGTTGTTACTGCTTCTACCTCCACCGAACTTGCACTCCATATACTCAGTCTTGCTTTGGCTCAGTCTGAAACCCTTGCTCTCCAATGTTTGTCGCCATACTTCCAACTTTGCTTTAATACCGGATTGTGTCTCATCAATCAATACAATATCGTCGGCAAACATCATGCACCACGGTATATATCTTCTTGAATTGACTTCGTAAGTTCATCCATGACTAAAGCAAATAAGAAATGACTCAGAGCAGATCCTTGGTGCACTCCAATAGTAATAGGGAACTCTGCGGTCCTCCCTACACTAGTGCGGACACTTGTAGTACAAGCATCATACATATCCATGATGATGCTGATATACTTACGTGATATGCCTTTTGTAGTTAAGGCCCACCAAAGAACTTCTCGAGGTATCCTATCATATGCCTTTTCTAAGTCAATGAACACCAAATGCAGATCCTTTTTATTGTCTCTATACTTCTCCACAACTTGTCTAAGAAGGTGAATGGCCTCAGTTGTTGAGCGTCCAAGCATAAAACCAAATTGATTCTCCGAAATTTTCACACTTTTACGAAGTCTTTGCTCAACCACTCGCTCCCAAAGTTTCATGGTGTGACTCATAAGCTTAATCCCTCGGTAGTTAGCACATTCTTGTACATCACCCTTATTTTTAAATAAGGGAATGAGAGTACTCTTCCGCCAACTCACTTGCATTTTGTTGTTTCTCCAAATCATGTTGAAGAAACGTGTTAACCACTCGATGTCTTTCTCTCCCAAACTTCTCCAAGCCTCGATCGGTATGCCATCTGGTCCCGTTGCTTTCTTCCGGACCATTTTTCTCATAGCCTCTTTAACTTCTGTTGTTTGAATCCTTCTCACGAAGTCCCTATTTACCATACATTCTGGTATAGTAAGATCATCAATACCTTGGACTTTATTCCCGGTGAACAAGGTATCAAAGTATGACCACCTCTCTTTTATTTCTTCGTCGTCCATTAGTACCCTTTGATCGACATCCTTCACACACTTAACTTTTCCGATATCTTGAGTCCTACGGTCACGAAGGCGAGCAAGTCTGTAGATATCTTTTTCTCCTTCCTTAGAATCCAACTTTACATACAATTCCTTATTCACTTTTCCTTTGGCTTCCTTCACAGCTTTCTTTGCTCTTCTTCTAGCCTCTTTGTACTCTTCTATGTTCTCGTCACTCCAACTTTTGCCCAATTTCTTATAGCATTCTCTTTTGGCCCTTATTGCTTGTTTCACCTCATCATTCCACCAAGATGTGTCCTTTTTTGTGGCAGACATCCTTTAGATTCTCCGAGTATCTCCTTCGCCACTTTGTTAATGGTGGACTCCGTTGATAACCACACATCATCCATGTGTGCGTCATTATCAATAGACCATTCATGTTAAGAAACGAAAGAATTATAAAAACACTTGATTAGAGAACAATAATATATAGCCTATTTTGAGTCACCATATGCAAACTTATTGAATGCAATTCTTGTAATGTAGTTTGGAAGGACTCTGGGATGTCTCAAAGAACGTAAGGCTCCTCTAAGTTGCTGTTCTGGAAGGGTACATTATATTGATATATTTTCGCGATTTGTTGTGAAAATAAATAATTAGAAGATAAAGTGGTCAATAAATCGGTGATATTTGGTAATATCACAATAAGAATGTTAAACTGTGCCACAAAATTGATGAGGTGATTGCTTATTAGGTAGAAAAAAAAGGTAATTTAATGAAAATTGGAAGTCTTTATGCTGACCGAATGATTAAGAAATCCAGCAATAGGAATCAAGCACATTCTTAGCTTTCCATCGCTAAACATTATCTTCATGCTGTTGGAGTACCAAAGTTCACAAGCCCATAGGAACTGCTCCCAGGTGTAAAGCTCTGGAGGAAATGTACCAGGGTGATCATTGCTGAGTGCAGGGAACAGCTCATCATACTGTAACCGTAAATGCTGCAGAATGTAATCATGCAACACTAAGATAATGTGGTATGGTGAAGTCCACATAAGAGAGAACAATTGTAATGCTAAAACCGCTTGACAAGCAACCAGTTATGGAGTCTCTTAGATGCCAAGAAATATAAAAAAAGGCAATTCCTCCCCACCCTCACCCATTTACACTCAATGACATTCCCAGTTTAAAAAAACAATATCTCCAGAGCACTTCACTCTAGGCCACCCAATGTGGAAGTATCACATTGATCATTTACTTCAATTATTCCATTCAAAAGTAGCTCTTATGTCTTTCTCGATATTATTTTTAAAAATGATTTTTTCCATGAGTTACATTAATATAGCCATTTTAGTCCTTTTTTTATAAGTGACCAAATTTTGTCTCTTATTTTCTTTCATGGAAGCATTTTTAGTCCCACGAAACTTTCATGGTAGTATTTTTGGTCCCACTTATAACTTCAAATTTACCATCCCTGTTTAAAAAAAAACACTAAAGAGCACAACTGTAATTCCATAACTTGCACATCCCAAAACCGAAATATACATTAAATTCTTATTTTAGATATGATGTAGGTTACTTAAAATAACACTCTAAAAGTTAAATCGTTTTTTATCAAAAAGTATTGCTATTCTATGAAGGTTTTTGCTACCAACATGATATGTATAATTTATTTTTTCTCTACGAAGTTAAATTCTTTAAAAAATGCTTATTGTTTTCAAGCTCTACATCGAGCAAAAGCACTTTATGACATTTGAACTAAAACTTGATTCCAATAATAAAAGTTTGGGTAAAAGGAATATTATTCTAAATACCCAGTTACACTTTTTATAAAAATAATTAATTCAACATATGTGCTGGTTTAGGGAAGAGAAGTCGTAATATAGTATACATATAAATATATATATTTATCTTTTAATGTTAGTTATTTAAATGAAGGCTTAAATACATTTCTAGTCCCTGCAAATATGACACTTTGTTTTAGGTCCCTGCAAAATACTTTTATTGTTTTTCATCCCTGTAATATGCATTATTTTGTTTTTAGTCCTTCTCTATTTCCAAAATCACTCTATTTACAAAAAAAAAACTTGTTGTCGTTTGCATAAATCTAGTACACGTATTTTATTTTTGTCCTTCTATAAATTTTTTAAGGCTAATATGAGAGTTAAAACAATGTAAATTTAAGTATTCACATTTAAAAAAAATATGAGAAACATTCAAAAAAATAAAATAAAATACTTTTTATCAACGTAACAAAGAATTAGAAGAAATCTATTAATTGGGATTACTTTGAGGTAAAACGGGGTTGATATCATCAGTGATGGACTAAAAAGAAAACTAACATAAATTGCAAGCACGAAAAACAAAAAAAATAAGTTTGCAGGAATGTAAAACAAAATGTACTATATTTGCAGGGACTAAAAATATATTTAAACCTTTAAATAACCATTGTCTCATACATATCTTTACAAAAATTAAGTTAAAAAATCAGATTCGAATTTTCAAATTACATAAATCCATAGTGCTCATTAGGATTTTCTTAAGAAACATATCATGATAAGTGTAGAAGTTAAGTCACTTAGGTGAGACAGTGGAAAAGCAACCATGAGAAAACAAACAGGGAAGGAAATAATCATTTTCCTTTCTTTGTATTGCTCTTTTTTTTGTGGTTGCATACTTTTAAAATCGCACTTTATTCAGAGTATAATAATAAAAACAATAAATAATATAATAATAAATGGTTAGGTCATGAAAATAAATACTCTGACCATACGTCTTCTTTGGTATGTATTAATGGCTTAGCTGCTTAAGACTGATAAGCAACACGGAGCAGAAAAACTAATTTCAAAGTTCATAAAAAGAAATTAATTTATCTATATGTCAATAGATAGTAAATACATATCTCGTAAGGTTGAATAAAAGTGACACTTTCACAAAAGAAAAAAACCTCTTTTGCTTGCACTATTTCCTCTAATAGTAAGGTTCCATCTAATGTGATGAGAGATTCAACCCCAAAACTCAAACCTGTCATTACCAAACAAAAACAAAAATATAAAACAAATGTGACAAGCAAGTGTTTTTGGAAAACACAATAGTGCAACTATAAAAACAAGAGTGCAGGTTTAATTTACAACATGCATCTTGATGGAAAATAACTATATAAAAACACATGTCATGTTAATTTTCATTCAAGTGGAAAAAATTATTATGATGATAATGCCAGTATGCCACCAATTCCAAACATGGGTGTTGGTGTCCTGAACCAGAGGAGCACAATACTGTATTACAATGGGTTCAGTAACAATATTATGTGTATGAGGATGGAATCACAGGGTTAAAAAGTACATAAGAATAGGGTATGCACAGCAAAAAGGATTAAAACAGTTGAGCATGGATCCAGCCAGCCAGGTTTGTGATGGTGCCAACTACATTTTGTCAGTCGAGGGAAAATGTCAAGTCAATCAAAAGGTTGAGAGTCCTGCTTGTTTGTGTGCAGATGGATTAGTTGAGAAGAAGTGGGCTGCACGCTTGTATTTTTCTATGGTTGTGAGGCCGGCATTGAGTCCAGGCCCCAGGGATGTCAAGAAAGGAACTTGAAGTTACAAGTACACACAGGGGGCAATCCTGGCACAGTGTGGCGATCCTGGTGTTCAATGTGGGTGGCCCGTTTATGGACACTTTCATTAGATAGTGGTATCAGCAACATGGCGCAGGTCAAGGTCAGGCGAAAAGAATGGGTGCAGAACAAATCTTAGAAACTAATTATTCAGTTTCCTATTACTACGTATAATAATAATAATATTAGTTTTTAGTAAGTCATTGCTTAGTAGAGCTGTATTAGGCTATTAGCTTTGCATATTTGTTCCCTTTTATGCTTTGGACTCCTGTAGTAGCCTAAATAAGGGATTATGGTTTGGAATAATAGTCTATCTTTGAAGTTGCAATCTTGTGTCTCTCCAGAAAGCCAGAACATGATAATAATCCATCATTGAAGTAGCAATTTTGTGTCTTGACAATTCTGTGCCAGAACATGTCATTCTCTGCCGAGGGTGAGAAGGCTTTATTCTTCTTAAAAAAACCATAGCTTCCTTCTCTTAGGAAATTCTAAGAATTCATTTGAATGCCTTTCCGATTGAATTGTTAGCTGAATTTGGTATGAGTAAACTAGACTTAATGAATAAGATGTTCAAAAATTTTCATCAAAAAAATCCACCGGGAACTGCCCCAAATGGAGACGACCGGACTGAGCCTCCTATATAAGGGCTTATTTGACCTTTTTATGTAAGTTCGAGGACCTATTTGACCCTTTTCCCAAGATTAAATAATTGGAAATTTAGAATCGAGGTATTTGCAAACTAGCCAACACAAACCTGTCTTGAATGACTCAGGCAGTGTATCAAAATATAACTTATATTTTGAGTCATGGTTGTGCTTCTCCTTCATGCTCCACAATAACAGCATTGTTTCTGAGGACATCCCATCTACTGCTTTCAGAATAGAATACTGTCCTAGAAGAGAGAGAAGTTGTTAAACTAATGCAATTCAAAGTCCCTAGTTAACAGCATACATAGTTTGTGCAAGAAACTTAATTGCTTATAGGAGATCAAAATATACATTTTTAATGAGCATAAAGGGATATTAGGAAAAAGTCTTAACTTTAAAAATATAGTAAAAACAAAGGTATGTACCATGTCAGATTCATGCACAATGTTCTCAGATATGATAACAGATATGGGGACCTCCAGTGCAATGTCTCCAACGTTCAGGTCTTGAGTTGCTATGGCACCTCTTCCCGCTCCTTCGACACCTGCAGATGCAGCTATATCAGAATATTTTGAATTAGCTTCCTTGCTTTTCCTCTACTGATTTGAAGAACAGGAGAAGTTTCACATAATGTTTCTTTCCTGGTATAACATATGAATGCACTGATGTTTTACATTCAAATAAGAGGGCAGGCGAAGTGGACTCCACTCTCTTTTACAGACCTGGCTATTTGCCAACATAACAAAATGGGACTGTCAACACATCATAGAATACCCCCCTTTTAGTTTTATGTAAAATTTTAAATACTTGGAAAGATGAATGAATTACTTGTATGAGATTTATCATCCATGGAAATGCATTTTGATCAATTAATAACTTACAAGCTATCCTCAAATTTGACATCACGCCATTCCTTTCACCCCACTGCAACAAAGAGTTCTCCCTTTCTATTCTACACCCTGAGAAAATTTTTGTGTCCTCCCTAATTCTATTTGAGCACTCAGAGATCACATCAACAGTTGCTTGGCGTAGCTCTTGTAATGCAGTTGCATTAGCATTTCTACTACTGAGCAGTGCCTCATCAGTGGCTGAAAGGACTGACTGCAGTGCTTTCAGTTCATTCCTTGGACTATAGAAACCAACAAAATTATTGGCATCATCTCCACCAAAATAAAGTTCTAGCTGCATAACAATAAATTACTACACGCTTAGAGTAATAAATTTAACAAAAATGCAAAGCTATGTTTTCTTATGCAAATTAAACAGAATGTTGAAGAGAAAATATGAAAGTCATTACTAGATGAGTTCACTGAATTAATGACTTTAAAACAGGTCTAGAAGACAGCATTAATATACCAACACGCTAAACAGTAAACGCTAAAAGAAGAGCAAGTTTTTTAACGTGTGCCACTTTGCTAGGGATGGTTTTTATTCAATATCATACTTCAGTTTCAGAGACATCAAACAGGTTGTGCACAAGGATTATAGAGAAAAGGGGATTACCTCATCTAGATTTATGATTCTAGCTTGTTGAAGCATCGAATTCAAATTGCTTTTTATCTGATCAGCATTAGCAGAAAGTCGTAGGGGCATCAGTCCCAATGGATTAGAGCCTATGTCCTGAAGTAGTTTCTGAGAAAAAAATTGAAAGTTAAAGAAAACATTGAACTGATGAGGGAGTGTCTGGTATGAGAACTATGCTTTAGAAACTCCAACCATCTTTTTCTTGAACAAGATGTCATTTTCTGGGAGTTCCAGCTTTAATGAAATATCAGCATCAGCAAGGTCAGTGTCATGGGGTGAACACTGGCAATACACAAAAGAAACACAACCCTTTTAGGGGTAAAAATTCATTCATGGAATATCAACAAAATGTACAATCTACATTGTATTCACTATGAAACGAATCTAACATATTTACTTTGAAAGCTTTAGGAATATATTCAGTTTACTGAGAGCATGGAAATGGCTATTTAAAAGTTGAAAGCACAAAGTTCAGAGCTCCTAAACAACTCCTTGCATGAATAACACAGGCATTCTGACATGAGGGCAATGAAAGATGCACATTATATTATAAGAACAGTTCATTCGATGATATAGTTAATTCCAATACTTCAATACACATGACAATGGAAACTTTAAGATCATGCAAGCAATAGTTCAATATCCTTGCGTTTGTTTACTGAAAACTTCAAACAGTCAGACTACACATTACTATGTGGGTAGTGGAAATCCAAAACTCCATTAAAAGTTGTCTCTAAAATCTTAACCACCGGGTAATCCTTTTTCATAAGAACAGTCACCATGCTAAAACTTAATTCCTGAGTGGACCACTTCTTGATCTGGGATGCCCATACAAATCCATGATGAATTAGTTTGAAATACAAGTATTGTTTTGATGCTACTGAAATTCAAAATTGTTCAAAGGGACTTTAATAGCTGAAGACAAGTGCATGTCTCTCTGATCATCTGATGAAACGCCAAAGAATTAGTTGGCTAATAAAAAGTAAAATTAAAGATTTTAAAAATATATTTCGCTTATCCGTGAACTTCAAACCACTGGAGCCCTAGTCTAGATCCACCATGCGGCTGTGCAGTAATGGAATTGATGGCCGGTTATATGTAAATGAGTGTTCTCATCAGGCAGGTTTGATGGGAATCTTGTAAGACCAACTTCATTTTTGGCCCAAAAAAAAATTTAATGATTCAAACTCACCTTTTCACCTTTAATACTTATCTGCTGGTTAAGATAATTAATAAAAAATGGAAATAAGCTTGATAAAATTTAAATGAGAAAAGAGTCAAATAAGGCCTTCTACTATTATGAAATAGTCACATAAGACCATATACTCAATAAAGTGTCATATAAATACCTCTACTTGTAAAAAGCAATCAAATGAGTTCTAATGACCTATTTAACACCTCTTAATCCCAGTTTCAATGTACTTCTGACCATCTTTTTAGAATACATTATACGACATATGTCGAATATTTAACTAAGATTGGTTGAAATACAAGTCAAAAAAATTGACATGTAAGCTAAAATCGGGATTTGGAGGTGTTAAATAAGCCGCGAGGACGCATTTGATTGCTTTATATAAGTAGAGGTACTTATATGACACTTTATTGAGTACATGGCCTTATGTGACTATTTCATAATAGTAGGTCTTATTTGACCCTTTTCTCAATTTAAATCTTTTGATAATCTAAGGGTTGAAACTAATCATTAAAACTAATTAGAAAAAATGACTTCACTTTTTTCTTCATTTATTACCAAAAATGAGTTTGGCCTAACTCCCAGTCAGGCGAATGTTCATATACTCCTATCTGTATATGCAACACTATTTAACAATAGGATGCTTTAGTGTTCAACATTTAATGCGAATAGACGCTCAAATTTTACCAATTGTTCAAGAAAAAAACATTCATGAGCAGGAACTACTCAACAAAGTTGACAAATGTCTTCAACAAAGATGCAATTAACAATGGACATCATTCATTTCACTTATAACTACTCAACTTTTCATGAAAATATGCTAGCGCATTCATCTCCACCTTAATAATTTCAAGTATCATCTATAGTCTAGATAAGCTTTTTAGGTTTACTATTCCCAGTTCCAAATAAATGATGAAAATATACTCGTATATAGCACCATAGAACTTTTTCATGACTGAGCAGAAAGGGGAAAGTTAGAAATAGAGTATATATGAAATCTTGAACTTTACCTTATCAATTTCCATTGACGAAAGCAAGAAAGTGTTCAGTGTAGTTTTCCGCCAAATCAGCCTTACAGCTATATACTCTGAGTTTTGTTTAGTTAATTCTCCCTCCTTCCCCCGAAATCCAAAATAGTTCCAAGGTTTTTTTCACCTAAATTCATATCGATAATCTGTATTTTTGACCATTCTATAATAATAATCTTTACCGAAAAAATCAATACAAATAATCCAAACTCGTAAATGCATCTACATAGATAGATTATTATACTTCAAGAAAATAATTATAGTAACGATATAAAAAAACAATAAACTCAAATGTATGATAATGGTGAACAAAGTCAATAATGTATCCTTATATATTTAATATCAAAAAGATTAATCTAATCTATCTATGTAGACGTGTTTATGAGTATGTATTATTTATATAGACATCTTCGGTAGGGATTATTATTGTAGAACCGCTAAAAGTATGGATTATTAGTATGGAAATTGAGATATTATGGTACACTCAAAACGGATAACGGGTGAATGAGAAATTGATTTAGAAATTGCCCTAAATAGGAGTAAAAACGTTTTGAAATTCCAAAATAGGAGTATCATGTTTTTTATTCCTTAAATAGGAGTAATCTGCCAAGTTTGGGAAAAAATGTCACGTTTAAAAGCCTAGTAATGCCAAACTTGGCAGAAATTTACTTCAATTTATGGAATAAAAAACATGATAGTCCTATTTTGGAATTTCAAAACTTTTTTACTCCTATTTAGGAAATTTACTGTAATTGATTCTCCAAGTTGTTGTTGTTGGGACACATCAAATTTCTTTGTTTCATTTTTACTAACAAAGTACTTTTATACGGAGTAGTTTTTAAGTAAAAAAGTACGTAGTATGCGTAGTATTTTTTGTTGTTGTTATAGCTACAACTGCATCAAAATGTGTCATGTTTAAAAATCTTAAATATTCTTTGTGCACATTTGGTAGCCATGATTTTTGGCTTTTCAGACTTATAAGCCAACTTTTCACCAAACATGTAACTTTTGGTTTTACGGGCTAAATTGTGTAATAATAAGAAAAAGTAAGGTTGGAGTTACTTTTCTGGATGTATTGGCTGAGGTTACTGTACAGGGTCGTTTTAGCTATTTTTTCATATAATTTTTTCTTTATTTTATTAATAAAATGTATTTTAAATTATTATTTTTCACAAATCAGCAGAATCAGCCAATACAACCACATCAACCATAACTTCATAAATCTCAGCAGAATCATCCAATACAGCCGATTTGGCTGTTACCAAACAGGCTCTTTATTTTAAGCCCAGATGACCAATTGGGGGATTTTTTTAAAGCTGCATATTTTTTCATGATATATCCATTAGAGTAGGTATTAGAAAGTTATTTATTATGGGGGAAATTATGATACATAATTTTAAAAATTGTTTTCCTTTTTAAAAATTAAAATGAATTATTCAATAAACATCGTTGCATAAATCTTAAAATGTGTGGTGTAAACAAATATCTTGGTCAGATGTCAAAGTGCGAAACAAATACAAGATGCACGTAACATAGCGTACTTACATCTTGTAAAACACTTAAAAGTGACTTCTCCAACTTAAGTAAAAATCAGAGATATGTTTATGTTTTCAATTTTGGAGAATAAGCATGTTTTCCCATTTACGGTTCTTTAATCTTTTAAATAAATCACAAATATTCATATTAGTAAACGGGGCCACAAAATAGTTTGGCTGAGAACACTATGTTTTTACTTGGATTATAATTTGTTTCTGATATGGTCGGTGTTGTGTCTTTAAGTAAAAACATCCTAAAACTGGTGTAGCTGTGAATGATAGCATCTTAGTACGCCCACGTTCTCCACCGTCCACTCGAAAATAATGGCAATGGTTTGGTTAATCGTCTTCTTCATCTTCCGCGTCCGCACCATGGATTAGGGACACGTAGTAAAATGAAACTGGTTAATCAGAGATTATTCAATATGATTTCTCCACGTTTTCCAATTTCCTGAAAAACCCGAAAGTAGTTTTGGGTGAGAACATTCTTTAAAACCGGTGTGGGTGTGAATGATTGCATCTCCCGCGTCCACACCATGGATTGGGACACGTAGTAAAAGGTGAAGATGTCGGCGGTCATATACACCTTTGATTTTCTGTTAGAACGACTTGACTTGGTGGTGGGCTCCCATTATATCTATGGCACCAGAGCAGCACAAGAGAAGATGACTGGTTGAGAGAACCATACTTTAACAAGCTAATCATGGGTGTATTGTTGTTGATGGCAGTGGGGGTGAGTTGGGTGGTGCTGGCGATGAGCGTGGGTGCCAGTAAATGCATTGATGGGGAGAGGGAAGTGCTACTCCAGTTTAAGCGCAGCATGGTTGACGAAAGAGACAGTCTGCGGTCATGGGGCAGCCACAACAAAGATTGTTGTAGCGGTTGGGCTGGAGTTAGGTGTGATCACCTCACTGGTCATGTCATCAAGATTGATCTTAACGATGTGAGGAAGCTGTCTGGGAAAGGTACACATACCAGCCTTCCGTTTATTGAGCTCCCCTATTTGAAATATTTAAGTCTTAGCTTCATGATCAATTTGCTGGAAAACCAGAGCCTCTCAACATTGATTGGGAATAGTATGGTTTCCCTTCAACATCTCACTCTTGCATACATGAGAATTGTTGGCAACATTCCCCATAATTTTGGAAACAGCATGCCTGCGCTCAAACACCTTGACCTCAACGGTAATATATTACAAGGTCCCATTCTTGAAAATTTTGGAAACAGCATGCCTGCGCTCAAACACCTTGACCTCAGCGGTAATAGATTACAAGGTCTCATTCTTGAAAATTTTGGAAACAGCATGCTTGCGCACAAACACCTTGACCTCAGCCATAATAGATTACAAGGTCCCATTCTTGAAAATTTTGGGAACACCATGCCTGCCCTCATACACCTTGACCTCAGCGTTAATAGATTACAAGGTTCCCTTCCTGAATATTTTGGAACCAGCATGCCTGCTCTTACACACATTGATCTCAGCTATAATGGGTTACAATGCTCCATTCATGAAAATGGTTTTGGGCATATGTCTTCCCTCACATATCTTGACATTGGTGGAAACTTTTTGGGAGGTCAAATCCCAACGAGTTTAGGGGAAAACATGACTAGCCTTACGTACCTTAGCTTGAGCAATACTAGTTTACAAGGCTCCATTCATGAAACATTTGGAAAGATGCGTAAGTTGACTACCCTTGACCTGAGTTATAATAGTTTGGAAGGTCACATTCGTGATGCTCTAGGGAATATGTCCTTCCTTGAAGAGCTTAAGCTTTTGGAGAATAGATTTGAAGGAGAAATCCCAAAATCCATTTGGAATATATGCACTCTTGAGTACCTGATCGTGGGATTCAATAATCTTAGTGGAAGCTTAATCATGTCCACATTGTGCCCAAATCACCCTCTGCATGAGATGTATTTAAATGTCAACCGACTCACGGGGTCATTTCCTGAACTTACCATGTTCCCCTATTTGAGCGGATTACATCTCGGTAATAACCTCCTACATGGGGTCATTTCTGAACATCATTTTGTTACTCTCTCCCACCTAAAGAGCCTGGATTTATCTTCAAACAGTTTCACTTTGAATCTCACCTCTACTTGGCTTCCTCCCTTCCGATTGGAATCTATATACCTTGAGTCCTGTAACTTGGGCCCTGAATTTCCAAATTGGCTTAGAACTCAAGTGAACTACACAGATCTTGACATTTCCAATAATTCCATCTCAGATTCAATTCCCTCCTGGTTTTGGAATACAACTACTGAGTTTATGAGCATTAATGCTTCTCATAACGCCATCAAGGGAAGACTTGTAAGCAATGCTCAAGTATCATTGGGGTTTCGAAATGCGGTTCTACTAGATTTGAGTTGCAATGAATTAGAAGGCTCCATTCCACAATCATTCTTCAATGTGATATTGGTGTACCTCTCTCATAATAACATCACTGAACTCAACTCCCTGTGTGACATTAAGGGTCCTAAGGCAGCTATTGCTTTGCAGCTTTTGGATATCTCATTCAATCAACTTTCTGGAACACTTCCTGATTGTTGGCCAAGCCTCTCTAGTTTGGTGGTTCTCAACTTGGCAAACAACAATCTATTAGGGAGTCTTCCAACTTCTATTGGAGCATTGGCATCCCTATGGGCATTGCATCTTAACCATAACAGTTTTACAAGCGTTCCACCTTCATCCATTAGGAACTGCTCCAAATTGGTGTCTTTACAGCTGGGACACAATAAATTATCCGGACCAATACCAGATTGGGTGGGTGAAAATCTACCACAGCTTGCGGTTCTTGTGCTAGGATCCAACCACTTCAGTGCAAGTGTACCAACAAGTATCTGTCATCTTCAATCTCTTCAATTGTTGGACCTGTCCATGAACCACCTTTCAGGGAGTCTTCCTAACTGTCTTTCAAATCTTACTCAAATGACTGTAAAATAAGGCGACAGTCCCACCATTTCTCATGATATACCAGTCTCTCTCGAAGCTTCAACTTTTTCAGTTGATATACGCATCAGCCAAGTTGACAAAATAGAGATTGTATGGAAAGGTACGGTCTCTGAATTTGATAGCATATTAGGACTCCTAAAAAGCATTGATCTCTCATCCAATGTGTTGACTGGTGAAATTCCAAGTGAAATCACATCACTTGTTGGGCTGGTTTCTTTGAACTTATCACACAACAACCTAAGGGGACAAATTCCCTTAAGGATTGGTAACTTGGCAAACTTAGAGGCTCTTGATTTGTCTTATAACCATTGGTCTGGTAACATTCCTCAAAGCCTTGCCCTGATTGATCGCATAAGTCCTCTCAATGTGTCCAACAATTACTTATCGGGCAAAATCCCGAAAAGCACTCAACTTCAGAGATTTAGTGCAAGTTCATTCATGGGAAATCCTGGACTATGCGGAGATCCACTCCCCAATAGTTGTCCAAGAGAAGACTTAACTCATCCTTCTCCTCTTGGATTCAGTGAAGAAGAAAAAGGAGAAGATGCAGATAAGATTTTTGCTGGTGACTTTTATGCAAGCATGGGGTGGGATATGCATTTGGATTCCTTACGATTCTTGGGACAGTGCTATTCAACAGGTCTTGTAGATTTGCTTTTTTCAAAGTCCTTGATGATTTTGCTAATTGGGCTTATGTTGTGGCTACAATCTATAAGGCAAAGCTTCTGAGAATACTTGGGAGTTAATAGGTCAGGGTAAGTACCCCTTGCTTACATCACATGCATCACCCCCCCCCCCCCCCCCCCCCCCGCCCAATAACATAAAACTAGCTAGTATCACTTTTAGGTTATATATCTCCACTCTTTTTTCTATGTTTTGTTTTTGTAATGTCATTGTTCCTCTTGGATACTGGGGTTATCTGTTGGCTTAATCTCTGTGGAGTTTGGGGCACTTTTGTCTCTTCATTCTAGATTTCTAGTCCATTGTGGTTAAAATCATATTTTTTTCTTTGATGAGGAAAACAAGGAGATGATTACTTTTTAACATGTTTCTCTTAGTGAAGTTATACTTGATTATATCTATAGCAACATCTCCGATTTGATGTCGCTCTTCGATTCACCTACGTCGCACTCCGGGCGGCAGCTACCGAAGGTCGCCGCTGCCTCATCTCCACTAGCGTGACAGACTTGACGCCTTTATTCCAATAATGAAGAAAACCATTGTGAGCCTTGCTTCTCCACATAACCCCCAGGTCGAACCTCTTTCGGTGGTTAAGAAAACATGCACTTACCCAATTGCTAGCCGGGAACCAACAGTGATGAATCTGCCATCACAGAGGGGGGATTCAACATTTCGATTATAAACCTTCCCCGCTCTAAACCGAAGGTGAAGATATGCCAGACATAATTTGATGATCTTCAAACGCGGGGAACATATCGTCTATAACCATGGAATCGCCCATTGCGCTTGGACGCCAAAAGTTCAGACACGAGCACAGATATGTGAATAAGGGTATAATAGGGATTATTAATACGGAGTACTCCGTATTATTTTATCTTTTACAGGTAGAATTTCTCTAATTTACGTAGTACTTCGTATACCAAACTAGACTAGTGTTAAGAGCCATTTGATAACACTAAATCAAATAAATCTACTAAAATTGGTGGAATTATGACCGGATTGAGTAAATTACGAAAAATTTATATTTATTTTTATGAATAAAATAAAGCAAAAATCACATGAAAAAATTTAAATTAGTCATTTTCATCTAATTTTAGGAGTGAGTAAAAAACAAACAAAAAGCACATGGTACCTATGTTCTAAAATGGAATGATCTGTTTTAATATTAAACATATCTCAAACATGACGAATCAGGGTTACACTTTTAGTGGACCAGTTATATTGAATTTTGTTATATGCATTTTATGATTTTTATTATTATTATTATTAAACCAGTCGATCCTTAGACCAGAACCGTGTCCACCCCTAAATACACATATAAACAAAAACTGAGCACATTGAATTAGATCATACATAAAAAACACGGCTATAGTTGTTTGTATAAGAGCAAATGAAAATTCATCTAAAGTGTCTGGTGTGAAATGTGAATGAAGAAGTTAAAACACAATGTATCCCGTTAGTGTACACCTTCAGAAAATAATGCACATGGTTAATAACATTATGGATTTTGAATGCGCGGTCAAAGGTCAATCAGGAAAGCACTTGAAAAGACATGTTTTGGATAAAAGCTAGCTAGATCTAGGGATGGACTCAGGTCGGGTCAACCAGACCGGAACCGACCCAAACCGGTATTGTTTCAAATCGGCTCGGCCCGGCCCACAGCCCGAGTACGGGCCGGGTCTACTATACCTGAACCGGATTTTCTTGGGCCAAGCTCTGGGTCTCCAAAAACTGAATCGGCCCGGGTCAAAAAAAATGTTTTTCAAACTCTTTGGGAGGTAAATGGGCTGGGTTGAGTGTTTTGAAGGGGTTTAGGATGTGGGGGGTGGGGGGGTAGGAAGTAATTAGAAAATAAAAAAAATAAGGTATCCGGTCCAACCCGGACCCAGTAGCTAGTAGCTACCCAGGCTAGTTCCAGGTCTCAACAACCCAAAAAAAGCCCGGCCTGAATCCACCACCAGCTAGATCCAAGTCAGTTCGTATACCGTGGGATCATCCCACGGTGAGAACCATGCTCCACTTCCAAAACTACGTACTTTTGAACTTTTTTTTAAAAAAAATCGTGTGAACAGTACACGCGTGAACAGTACACGCATGTACAGTAACTGTTTTTATTTTTCTTTTTGTCCTAGTAACATGAATGATGTAACTCGCGTGTAAAATTATGTAACTCACGTTATTGACCAATGTAACTCAAGTCCAGTCAAAATGTAACTTGTTAAATACATAATATAAGAAATAAAATATTGATTTCAATGAAAAAATGAGTCCAATTGGCCAATTTTTTTACTAAATAGTGTATATGTTTTGTTTTTATTATCAAGGCTATAAAAATGTTTTTTTAAGAAAATGATTTTTCTTTGAATAACATGGGCTTATTATGTTGTGTAACTCACATTATATTGCGATGTAACTCGTATTATGTAAAATGTAAATCACATGTAAGTAGATGTAACTTGGTGAGAAAAGTTGACATGTAACTCACGCTAATAGATATGTAATTTTAGGCAAATTCTGATGTAACTTGAGTGTGTGCGAGATGTAAGTTGAGCAAAGACTAAAATAATTCATTGCAATCATCCTGATACCGTTTCAATAGGGAAAGGTTATAGTTGAAGGATTCATAGCGATTCAGAATTGTGCATGGTGGAGGAAGCCTTGGCTATTTCAAGGACACATATTTTCGTTCCGACGCAGCAGCCGACAGCCGAAGAGATGGTGGGAGCACCAAACAGTCTCCTTAAATCACCTTAGGGCTAATTAAGACATTCAAATTGCCATGAAAGATGGCTATGGAAGATGGCATATTCAACCCTGAAGAGTAGCTATTTGGCCGCAAATTGCTCAATCGGAATTTGTCAGAGATGCTCACCTTCTCTGCTCTCTTTGGTTGGCGTTGCACATGAAGAACGTACCTAGGCACCTAGCTATTCTAACAAAACGCAGAGCGATGGTAAACCGTAAACGGGAGGGGTGCACGCTATCTTTTTCTTTTATCTCAAAACTAGGGATGGACTATACCGGGCCCGGTTCAATTTTTTTTGTTTTTTCAATTTTTTTTTTGCTTTTCTAGGTTAGGGTTGGGTGTTTTGGGGGGGTTTGGGGGGTGGGGTGAGGGGGGTCGGGTGTTAATTAGTAACCAAAAAAAAATTGAACTTGACCCGGGCCCGGCCCGGCCTGATTAGGCCCGAACCCGGTATCAACCCGGGCCGGTTCCTGGCCCAACATTTTGCAAAAAAAGCCCGCTTGGGCCCGGCTTGGAACCGGACCGGCCCGGGTCCATCCCTACTCAAAACAATACCGTATTGGGATCGGTACACCATCCGCATGGTGGACCGATCCCACGGTATAAATTGTGGATTCAAGTGAAGTCTAGTCGTCTAGATGTGGAAGCAATTGGAAAAGGTGGTTGCAATTGTAGCGCAAATCTTAAACAAATCGACTAGCCAAAGGTTCTCATTTATATAACATGATAATAAATGTAGAGTTCTCAATTTCATTATCCATTTTTTGTAGTGAACTTGCAATAGGGGTGGACCGGTTCCGGTTCGGGCCCGGTTCGGGCCTCGGTTCATGAAAGGGGAGGCCCGGAACCGGCCCGGGTAACCCCGGGTCCAGTCCGGGCCGGGCCTCAGTTCTTGTATTTTTTTTTTGGCTTTTCCTAATTAACCCCCAAGGTCCCAACCCTCCCCCCTCACCCCCAAACCACCCCAAACCATCTCAAATGGCCCATCATACCCAGCCCAACCCAAAAACTTAAAAAAACTTCAAAAAAAAAAGAAATAAATAATAATTTGGCCCGGACCGAGCCCGAACCGGCTTGGCCGATTCACGATTTAGGAGGCCCGGGCCAGGCCCGCCTACCTCACCGGGCCGGGTGGCCCGAATTGGGCACCAACCGGTTCACCGGGTCGGTCCGGGCCCGTACAGTAGCAGGCCGGTCCGGTTCCGGACCGATTGGCCCAGCCCGAGTCCACTCCTAACTTGCAATAATTTTCCCACTGTTTTAGCCCAGTTCCAATGATCCAATGATCAATTCTTCAAACAAAGGATATTTTTAAGTGAATTTGATCTTAGAAAATTGTATTTCTCAAAGCAATACATTGGAACGAAAAAAACTCTGCAATCAGGTCACAATAGCTGATGTGAGTCATGTGAGTATGTGACTAATGGGACAAGAAAATAACATCTAGCGATCTATAATCTTTATAGAGAACGGAATGGGACAAAACTTGGCATGGATCAAAACAGCCCATTTAAACATAAAAATATCAATGATACAAATGTTTCTACTCAAGTAATACATCTTTAATTTTTATGTCACGCTTCAGAGCGATTGCAGATCAGCATTGGAATTTGGTGAAAGCTGTTGCATCAAGATGGAGTCATCGTCATCTCGAGGTTGAATTTCCTGGTACCATTGGGATTTAAAATCATCATCTCCCCCATTTAAAGCATAATTAAACACAAATGTGGCATAATACATGCAAAAGAATATCTCCAATGGTACCAAAACAACAGTGCAACAGTAGCAGTTTGGTAGTAATAGTGCAACACCAATGTAATGGCACCACATATATAAGTTGTACAACCAGCACCGGCAGCAGCTCCGACAATAGCTCGAGAGCCTAACAGTGCAGCAGCTGCTACCACCGTTGACGATGTGTGCTATTGTGTGATGTTGTCACTTACGCCGATACTACTATCCGGCGTCATTGCTTCCTACCATCGAATGGTGGCAATAGCCAAACTGCTAATGTGCAACACTAGTAGGCTCCTCATTTGTCAATTGGGAAAACCATCATATAGACTCCTAGTTATCTCCTATGTCGTCAAGATTAAGCCATCGTATCAAACACAAACATGTGAACTTGCTAAACCAAGTCATTTTGTAGGTTACCAAACGGTTTCCAGGTTACTTTGTGACCTCACTATCACATCTACACCACCTTACTCCTATATAATAATTCATAGCCACCACACCGCCTATCTAATTTTTCGTGTTCTATTTCTATTAACTACGGCGTATTTCTCATCTACTTCCACTTGACCTCGTCGCATATTTTTTGGGGGAAACATTGTTAGGGAGGTATAAATAGCAGGCATAGGTGGCCGCATGTGGCGGGGGCTGTTGGAATAGGGAAATAATAAAATAGAAAAAGCTCAATAATGTGGCGTTGAGAAGGCAAAGTAAAGTAATACCAAGAAACATGTAGATAACCTGATAAAAGTGTTGGTTGAGTGTTTCTAACAAGTGTGCCTAATTGGGTGTTTGTTAAATAAAAGTAATTGAAGAATTGGAGATATTGTGAGTGCCTATTTGGCAATTATCCCTGTAGATGTTATCAGTTGGATGTCGAATTTAAAAATCTGTGTGGACTATTTAGATTGTCACGATGTGAATCAAATTTATATTTGACAGTGGGAATGCATTCATGAATCCATTGTATCATATCACAAATGTTTTGGAACGAACCTAGAAACATGGAGATTATTATAACTTCTTTCAGGGATTCTCATTGAAAATTTATCAAATACCTGCGTTTGTAACAGTTGATGAGATTGTTGATCTTGTGAACTAGAATATGTTTGTGGCTGGGACATCCGATAGTATGGCTCCTTGAGATCAAGTTTTCCGGTTGAAGTTTGAAGCACATCTCCAACAACAGCTATTGAAAGTACATTTATGATATTATCATTTATCTACAAAGGAAGGAATATGGTAATGATACCACAGACGGTGAAACCTGAGGGGCTGAGGGTGTACCAGATAATGTCAAGAAAATGGTGTAACTCTGGGCTTTATGGGCAACAAGGTGAACTCGTCCAGTTATTTCTTGTCCTGGCATGACATAAAGGGGTTGAGACAAAACACAACGTAGCTGGTACCAATGGGTTGTGGGTGCACCAGGAGCAGTGGTCAGCCATCTCGGTACAGTGCTGCACACAACACAGAGTACATGTCAAAAAGAATCCCCTTTCATCCGCAAAACGGATTTCAGAAAACATGAAGTGTGAATGAAGAAAGTTTTACCTGCCATTAAATAATACATCAAACCAACAAGCTAGTCCATGGATTCTTGTGCTTACAGAAGATGTGAATCTTAGGGGGATATCAATTTCATATAGTTCTTCCTCCTAAAACACAAATTCCACCCCATTAGAGAATTTAAAGATCAACCTAATAAACACTATAGGAGGCCTATGCAGGTCGAAGCTTAAATTCAACTAAAAATCGAAGCTATCAATGCACAAAGCATGACTATTTAAATACCTTGATGGAAGAGAAATTTATCACATGAGATATGGCAGGAGCTACAAGCGATCTTGGATCAAATGCTTCAACCACAGGCTGTCGAGAAGGTGTGATAGAAAGTTTAGGTAGTCAAGTAACATAAGACGACGGACAACCTATTTTTGAGTGCATACAGGAAATAATAACAAACCAAACTTGGAATAGTAAAGGGCAATGATGAACCAAATGACTGCAAGCCATTTTAGGAAGATATACGCAGAAAGAACAAGAGTCAACTCAATATTAAGCACCACACTGAATCAGATAAACAAAAAAAAAACTAACAGCACTAGATTCACAAGCTACGAAAGAGTACATATTAGGTTGTATTCCCAAAAAAGTACACAATGGATCCCAAGATCTTCCTCAGACATAGCACGCTTATTAAAAAAATAAAAACATGTGGTTCAATTTTATATTGAAAAAAAGAAACCATATTAACCACAAAATTCTTTCCCTGAAAAAGGAAGAACATTTTGGGACAACCCAAAAAGAAAAATTAGAAGAAAATTGTGAGACAAAGGGAGTAATTCATGAAGACAAAACTTTATTCAAGTAGTACACACAAAGCCATACAAATCAAATAGGAACCGCTACTAAAAAAAACTCCATTCTACAAATGAAAATATTTTCAACATTAACCTGCGAAAAGTATCCTTGGAAGGCAGATCCATGTAAGGGCTTCAAATTGACGCCGAAATAGTTTTCTTGCTGCCAAAATACAGCCTGGATAAAAACGGATTCAAAAATGCTTAGCTGAATCTTCACCGTCGAGCAGGTTATATTATCCAAGGGGCAGTCACCACGCAACATTCATAAAACTAATGCACCTAAATTCATTGGATGCCACAATACATGCATAAAGTTTCATTTTTCCGGAACAGAACTTCACACTCATAATTAAAGTAGATGATTAAAAATAAAGATCAACTACTCAACCATGATGGACAATTTTCTTCAAAATATCTACAGTCATAGCTCATTGATGTCTAATGAAACCTTCCATGCATGTGTCAGGAGTCTATGCTGAGGATGACTATGTAATGTCAACTCATTATTCATTTTTAAAAGGTAGTCGCAGAAAAGTGATAAAAGGGTCTCCTGCCACAGCCACGAAAAGGACAGAAGTACTGCAGGAGTTCTTTTTATTTTTATTTAATGAAAAGGGAGAGGAATGAAGAAAACTTGAAACGACGTAAGATAATAATGGCATAATGTGTTACACTAATTACTGAATCATGTTTGGAAGAGGATAAAATTGAGATAGATATTGTGTAGGAATGGTGGTAGATACTGGAAAATTCAATGTTATAAAAGAGATTTAATATCATCTCACCCCCCATATAGGCTACACCCCAATCAGAATGTACGCAATCGATAGAAAGGAAGTGTGAATGAGAACACCTGGACTCCTTTCAATTCCTAATTTTCTTTCATCCCTCCCAAACAGGTATAACCCTTTACTCTTTACTCCGTTCCCATAACTTACACTCCCACTAAGCAAGTTGTAAAGCGCTTCTTTGTCAGCACATGATTTATCTAGGATAGCCTCACGGAATATAACAAGCATAACATACTACAAATACTTCCCTCAAACTAGAGCATCATCATATAATATGATCTAAGCATTCTCAAATTTCAACATAATCTCCAGAATAAAAATGGCTTGAATTGGCCTGAGCTTTAACTTACAATATGGCATTGATCCTATGTCAGGTTAGAAATCTCATGAACAGGACACGTAATAGTGAAAGTTCATGAACAGTTAACATTTTTGTCCCAACTCATAAAGAGATTCGCATTGCATGGTCATAATGTATTTCACATAAATCTGGAAGGATCCGGCTAATGGTGTATACATTTATTGAAGCCTATGTAAATGCAACACATCTTTCATCAATCAAAGATAATGAAAGTGATAATAGGATTCATGAAGAGAAATTCCACATGAAGATGATCATCTCTAGGCTATTAAGAGCACATTAAATTTTCCAACTGTGCTTTAGTGTGGAAAAGTTGCCTACTAGATGTATTCCTTTCATTAGATTCCTCTATTTTGATAAAAGAAATATAATTGACTTAGGCACAATGAGTATCACCAAACCATAACATTTCGGCCAAATTCTACAGAACATTGTTGTGTCTTCTAATCTTAGGCTAAAAGATTGAAACTGATTGATTAATTTTCACAGCAACAAGATTTTACCACCACAAGAGGAAGGCCTGAGATCTAGTGGAAATATTCTTTATGATGGAGAGAGGAGCAAAAAGACCAATGCAACAAAGACGATGCATGACTCAAAGTTCCAATGAAAAAAGGTCCTAACTAAACCATATTTTTTATTATACTATTGAAGATGATAAATTCTACTGATAATACTATCTCGAAAGTTTTTAATCACAATAGTTGGTAATCTTGGTATACTTTGAGTTGAAGTCTACTGACTACTGTCGGAAACTAGTCTATTGCCAGTAAAAAGTATTAAAGTAGAAATGAAACATGTTATGGGCTGAAAGGAGTACCTTATTAGCAATTTCCAAATATAGGTATTCATCAGTGAACGGTGCCATATGTATTCTACAAGAGGAAAACAAAAATCATCAGTATTGCCTATTTTTATATGTTCCCCATCATTACCATTACAGATTGAAGAGTTGCATAGAGACAGATTGAAGAATTGCAGAGCGACAGAAGCATTCACCCCTTGCACATATAACCTCTTTACCACATGCATACACTTTACAGACAGATATACCACGGATACATAAATGAAAAATGGCATAAAAGTTTTTTTAATTACCTTGATTTATGAAAGAGAAATTTCAGCATTGAAGTTTTTTTCTTTCATAACATAGAAATTAAAGAGCAAATTATTTTTTAAGGAGTGCAAGTGATAATGAAATGTGATCGATAAACTAACGAAGTAGATCTTTCTTTTGACAAAATTACAGAATAAAGATACAGAAATTATACACTTCTATTCACCCATTTATCCCATTTTGTATTTCATGATAACTTTGATTTTTCAAACCAGTTCTTCTTGAGTGTGTCTTTGTAATATTCTAAATCATGTTTTTTTCCTTATAAAGAAATTTGTATTTTTAAATGTATAAAATTTACTTGCTAAATACTCCCTCAGTATTGAAATGTTTGCTACAGGTTCCTTTTTGGGATGTATTTTAATTTTTGCTACACTTTCCCTTTTAGGTCAGTTTTCCCTTTAAAAATACTCAATTACCCTTACTTTTTCTACGTTTTATCTTCTATTTCATACTTTTCCACCCTCTCCTACTTTTTCTACACTATTCATTACCCCTACTACTTTTCCCTTAAATAATGTGCCAAACCCTATTGTAGCAAACATTTCAATACGGAGGGAGTATATATTAGATTAAAAAAAAGTAAACTACAAATAACTTGTTAGATCATTATTTAATTGTGTTCAAATTAATTGTAATTGTAATTTAATTAATTAGTCTTTGCATTAGCTAGATTAATTGAGAGAGAATTAGACCCAAATTAATGTGCTCTAAAATAGCCCACACGCCTAAAGTTGTTGTTTCCTAACTGTAATAGGGTGTTCGAACCTCTCCCTATAAATACAGGCAGAAGGGGTTCGAAACAGCCTGAAGTCTCTACACATTCTATTCGGCATATTATTCTTGTAGAGCACCTAGACTAGAAAATTCTCTCTCAACATTCAGTCCGTGTATTGTTCATCACCGAAATGACCGAATCATCATTATGAATATACGGTATATGTTGGTGTTGAATTATTCTTCTACGGCTTAAATTCTGTCCATTATTCCTAGAATTATTGGACTGTTGATCTGGGCATAAATCACACATAACTAGAGACAGACCCTAGATGCAAAAGCCCAACACATAAACTGGGATAAAGTAGTAAATACCTTCCCACTGAAGGAAACATTTTTCCATTTGGACCAAGAAATCGGTCTCTTGCAATCACATAGGACTCGAGCATTCTTTCATTGACTAGCAATGTTCCTGCAATAGGGCAATACTTAATCTTATACTGTCCATGTCAACAAATGATTATATTTACAATAGAGATTGTGGTCTGAAATTGTGGACTGCAATATTTGCAATTGCAGATTTGCAGCGTAAAACAAAATCACACATTATGTCTACATAGTAACGGTATTAAGTCCATAACAGAACAAAATTACATATTGTGCAAATATATAATTTTTACAAGCCGCATCAGGTACATCCATAAGGGCCACATACCAACTGCATCCGTAATCCACAATTTAAAATCATGAAGAAAGGTCCTACTTCATCACATCCAAGAATACCATATAACTGAACTTTAAATAAAATAATTAAGCACTAAATGCCATTTATGATGGGAATTTTTTACATCGTACATATATAATTAACTTACTAATCCTCTCTTCTTTCTTTTATCGTTTATCTTCTTTATCTTTTATATTCTTATGTTATTTTTATCTTCTAGCTTTTTTATGCTCTTTTATTTTTCTATCTTTTATCTTTCTTATATTCTTTTGTTATTGTTATCTTATATTTATTTATCTGTATTTTATCCGTTTTATCTTACTTCTTCCCCCTCCCCTCCCCCTCCTTGTTCGTCTCTCTGTTTGGCATCGATATAGATCGATTCATGTTAGCCGACCCCAAATTCTTTTGGGATTAAGGCTTGGATGTTGTTGTACATATATAATTAACTTGTCAAACTGCATGAAGCATGTGCAGATGAATCCATGTCATATGGTAGGAATATTAATTTCAAGTGTGGGAGAATGTGGTAAAAATAATTTTGAAACAATGGCATGTTTTTATCCCATAGACAGTGCCGTGCCTACAAACTCTGTTTACTTTTTTAAGTAAATGTTGCAAAATAAGGCATAAGGAATCACAATACTAGGAGGAAACTGATTTGAAAAGTAATTCTTAAAGCATATTTATGAATAGTAGTATTTTTTTAAATAAACTTATTTCAATTCACAATCCAATGCCATCAACATAAAACAATTAGGCAAACATCTCTTGGACGCAAAGCTTATAAAAATTCAGGAAAATGTATAAAGTTCAAGGATAATGGTATCTTTAGCTAGCATTGGGGCATCAAAGAGAGCATACTTCAGGAAGAGAATAATGAATGAAACATTACCCATTGGCTCAGAAATCAATATATCAGCTTTCTCTGGTAGTTCAACATCTTCAACCTTTCCCTTTATTACCTGAATAAGATCAAAGTGCCAATATCATAAGATCCAAGCCTAGTTATCTTAGGGTGTGTATACAATAAAGTTATTTTCTTGATACAGTTACTACACGTGGAGATAAATGAGAAAAAACTAATGGCTCTTGATAAAGATACAGCAGCTGTTTCAAAAGTAAAATTTCTGTTTACAGTTCTGTTCATGCTATCTACAAATCATTTCACTCCCTTGAAATAAGTGGTTATAGCACTACCATTCACCGAGGTAACTGAGGTTTTGAAAGGCAAAAACTGGCCCTTGGTCGGTCATTGCCTCACGAAGCATAAGCCACAAGGTGAAGTACTGAAGTGGTGCATAAGCCTCACATTAATTAATAAACAAATAAATAAGAAAGTAGGTTAAAGGATAGATAAAATGGCAAATATCGTGATAAACTTACATGTAATACTCTTTAAAAAGATAAAAACATATGTCAAAATACAAATAAATGGATAAAATACACATATAGTTACAAATATCGAGAACATGATTTACTGAAAAAACTTGAAAAACATTGAATAAATTCATCACTTTTAAAATTATATATTCCATTTTAAAAACTTATTATAGTTGGAGAATGTTTTAATTTGGTCCAAACAAAAACTAAAGAAAATGAAATGGGCTATGCGCCTATGCCAAATAACTCACAACTCACAGAAACAACATTTTATTATGTTAAAAATATAGCTCAGACCATCATCTACTACACTAGCTACGTTAGGTGCAAAGAAAAGTTAAAAACCAAGTTCTGTCAGTTTTTTCCTTCCCGCAAGTCTATCTATGGTACTTTCCAATTCTTCTTTCTATTCTTTTCCTTTTCATTTAAACATATTCACATTTCTTCCATCTTTTCCCTCTAGGGTCAAGGGGGTAACCCTTCGCGTCTCAGCCATCCTGAGGCGCAGACGCTTTGCCCTCGTTTATGTAAGCCTCATGGGCTTTTTTCCTTGGGCCCCAACGCCTTTGCACCTCAGAGGTACATGCCTCAAACAGCTATGAAAACCATGCCATTCACAATTTCACAGCCAATAATTTGAACAAAAACTTACAGTGATTCTTTCAGCTAATAATGGATTGCCAGCAATCAACTTTTGTGCATACTCAGCCATTTCGGAAGCTTCTACAGCATAAACATGTTTTGCACCAGCCTATAAGAAATAAAACAGAAGTGAAAATCAACAATACTGGTAAATTTTGATTGATATTGTCCAAAACGTCAGCAGTCGAATCATTCTAAATATAGATAGGCCACCTGAGCAGCGAATAATGACAAAATTCCACTACCAGCACCAACATCAACCACTACCCGACCATGAAAATCAGATCGGTTCTCAATAACTGCAGCATAATATGTTCCTGCCAACAGAAATAGATAAATAATTACAATTTGCAGATATGAAACATTGTAATGCATCGAAGCCTAACATCAAATAAAATGATACTCAGACAAAAAAGTAAACTTTTATACGAAAACATGGTGCTTCTGATCTGAAACTAGAAAAAGAGTCTTCCACTCTTCCCTCTACAAACTAGAGTGGTCAGAAATGATATGATACTTATTGGGTTGGATGAGAATATGACTTTGGAGAGAGCAAAGTGGAGGGAGAATATAGATGTGGAGGATTGATCTCATTTTATCTTTTTTATCTTTCTTATCTTCTTTATCTTTTATCTTGTCTTTTTATCTTTTCCTTTTTTATCTTTATCTTGTCTTTTTAAGCTCTGATTTCATATATCAATTCATATTAGCCGACCCCAAACTCTTTTGGGACTAAGGCTTGGATGTTGTATTCATTATTCTGCAGATTGTGGTCTATCCGATTACCTTTTGATTTATAATTTCATTTACCAAGTTTTTGTTATATTCAAATTAAGTTTGTACTGTTCAATAAAAAAAAGTGAGACAATGCAAGTTTTTGTTATATTCAAATTAAATTTCATGTACCAAATTTATCAATGCAAGTTTTAACAACTGATACTAATTTACTGGAAAGATTTAGATTATCCGCAGTCAAACCTCGTAACCTGAATGCGACAAGTAATTTGGAAATGAAGGAGAATATAAACAAATGCAACCTGTCCTGACATAGTCCTGCATCATATTTTGTTGATGTAGAAGCTGTCCATAGTAGTGAAAGTACATCTTGGCAGAAGATGCCTCAATTTTATCATCAAATTTGCTTTTAGAAGTTGGTGCTGCTCCATTTTGCATACATGACCCTGGAAGAACTAGTTAGAACTACTCTCTACCACTAAATTCAGAGAACAAAATATAATTCAACTATAAGTTATCATAATCCTTGGGACCTTGTACATCCAATTGTTTTTTCCACTTTTCGAAGGCGCAAAGGAAGGAACTGCATTCCTTCTCCTCTTTAAAATGAATGGTGATTCCCCTTGAAAAGGTTGACTGGGTCATAGGAACAATCAAATTTCAAAATATTTAGTCAACTAACATGTGAACCATAACAAATAATTATCTTATAATAAAATTTATATGTGATAGAAGTTAGAACTGGCCATGTGCATATTTAACTACATAGTACATTCCAAGATGAAAAGAATAAAAAAATAGATAATGAAACAACATATAGACGTATAGTTTCTCTCACCTCTTTGCTGGCTTCACAAGCTTCGGACATGCAGAGGAATTGAACAGGGCTTAGCCTAAATAGCTGTACACAAGAAATAAATGTCAGTAGTAAATAAATGCCATTCAAGACCATATTCTTTGACGGTATGACAAGTTATATTATAATCAATACTGATACAACAACGAAATATCATAATTTCTCCTTAAAATATGTTATGATAGTAATTGAATACATGACATTATGTTAACAGAAAAATGTTAAATTCAAAAAGTTTCTACTGAATGAGAAAAACATGTCTTTTTAATGGAATATAAACAAATCTGATAATGCGAAGAAGAATGGGAATGGTGGAACAGATATGATAAAAACATGTCTTTTTAAACATGTCTTTTAGCGTGATCCAACAGCATAGAGGCAATGGTGGACATACATATCATTAGCAGAAAGAGCAACACGGGTCAGTTTAGCTTTTAGGTAACGGGTTGGGCAAAAATTGCGAAAAACTTGCCAACCAAATAGCGAAGCTTAATGAGAAATACATGCCTAAAGCCCATCAGAATGTGGAAAATGTGAAAACTATGGATCTCCAAAACACTTACAAATTTTGAAAAAATGCTACATAAGCTTCTTTGAGTTACTGTTTATCTACAGGGGAATGAGTGATGAATGATACAGCTAAGCACATTAAATCAGTTTAGACACATTCGATCATCAGAGAAAAAGCAAACTTCACTCTTAAAAAGTCCAAAATAATGGGCATCAGCCTAACAAATGATGTCTTATGGACTTGATGACGCAGAAATTTTCTGCTCCATCTTAAAAATCTACCACATTCACCCAGAATACAATTTATGACCAGAAAAAGAACAAAATTATAAAATCTTTAAATGTTTATCCAAGCACACAAAAAGAAATAAAGAATATAGATATCAATTAAATCAAAAGGTGTCTCACTTGAGAAGTTCGGAGATCAACTATAATCCCTGTTCCCGGCTCAGATTCTTCCCCAAATTGAAGCTGAGGAAATCCAGAATCCAAGCAGAACTTAGCTAAAACTGGTGACGAACTAGAAACGGAAGCTGAATTTAAAGAATGTGATGATGGTGGGGAAAGCTCTGAAATTGAGGCCACTAAAAATTCTTGACCTTCCTTTTTTCCTGCTTGGATCTCCATATCTTACTTTTTTTATGTACTATTGTTCTAAAGAGTAGTCCTGGAGGGAGAGAGTTATGCTTATGAGTTTGAAATTTTGTTCAGAATAATAGAGAAAAGATCGATTTAGGGTTTTTTGTGAGCTAGACTGCTGCAGTGCTAGACAATGCCATAGTAAAGTAGTCACAGTCTGGTGCCGAGCGCCGACTGGCGAGGCATCAGGTTATAGGACTGTTTCCAAAGAGCTTCAAAAAAGTATTTTTAAAATACTTATTTCTATTAATTCAAAAAATATGACTCCAATTATACGGTTGAATTGCTTACTCGTTTTGTTTTTGTTTTTTCTTTTTTCTTTTTTTTACCCAAGGGGTCCGAGGGCCGGGGGGCTTGAGTATTCAGTGCTGAAACTGAGTCCATTGAGTTTCAAAACTTTATGTGCCTAGCGGATTTCGAACTCGATATCTTAACTTCATAGTCAGCTGGGCTGGAATTAGGAGTGGACTCGGGCCGGGCCAACCGGCCCGGAACCGGACCGGCCCGCTACTGTGCGGACCCGGACCGGACCGGTGAACCGGTTGGTTGGCCGGTTCGGGCCACCCGGCCCGGTGGGATGGCGGTTCGGGCTTGGGCCCTTCAAAAGGTGAACCGCCCCGGCCGGTTCGGGCCCGGGCCGGGCCAATTTTTTTTTTTTAATTTTTTTTAAGTTTTTGGGTTGGGCTGGGTATTTTGGGCCATTTGAGGTGGTTAGGGTTGGTTTGGGGTGAGGGGGGGTTGGGGGTTAACTAGGAAAAGCCAAAAAAAAAAAGAACCGAGGCCCAGCCCCGCCCGAGCCGGTTCCGGGCCTCCCCTTCATGAACCGGGTCCGAACCGGAACCGGTCCATCCCTAGCTGGAATGCTTGGTTGGTTGAATCGCTTACTCGTATGTGTCTGCCAATTTGCGTTGTCTATTATCAAATCCTAAAGTTCATAAGTGAAAATTCTTTTCACTTACCTTTTTGGGCTTTCCAAAAAATTCTTCTCATTTTCCTTTTTTAAAAGTTTTATGTGACTCTTATTCATTTACTTTTTTCTTACTTAACCACGATCATACATTTTCACTTTCTTAAACTTCGATGTAAATTAAACCGGGAAGAATTTTGCGGGAATGAGGGAATAACCTTTTAACCACACACTCTAACTTTACTTTACAAAAAGACACCAATATTACTACTAATCTTTTCGATTAAAAAATATGACTACTTTTTAAGTTTCCATAAACCTAACTCCAATTATACGGTTGAATCGCTTACTCATATGTGTCTACCGATTTTCATTGTCTATTATCAACCCCTAAAGTTCATAAGGCTTCAGTGTCATCCATTATGTACGACTCTAGAGATCTTAAGTGCCCAGTGTCGCTCCAGTAACGACGAGGATGAATCAATCGACAACGACTCTAGTGGAAAAGACGGCGAGTGGAGACAACCCTATGACTGTCAATAAAGATGACCTTATGACCGTCAACAACGAAATAAATGCAGTCAGATGTTTGGGGCAGTATAAACGATCAAGGGGTAATAACTCATATCACGGGAGGAAGTCGGAGAAGCAAAATATACGAGATCACAAATGTAGATTGCTCGCGGCTCAAACGTACCGTCACCAAGGATAATAATAAATGAATGTACTATTAATTCTCTATATCCCTTCTTCATTTTTTTTCATATTCTCCATCTAGGAATGGAACAATCGGTGGGGGTTAGGGTTTGATATGGTAGTGATGACCTTAACGGTTATAGTAATTAGAAATTGTTGAATTAGTATTGTGTGGTGTAAGAGGTTAAGATTGTGTGGCAGAGCAACTGCCCTTTGATGTTTGCAATTATAGAATGGTTGGAGGTTCGTGTGACAAACTGCGGATAGAGTGTCACTATGACAATTATTGAGTGATGATTTCATTTGTACCATATACATTATCAATAACAATGTCGTGATGGATTTTTAAGGTGGTGGAGACTTCATTGATTGGGGTTGCGAGGTGGTTGACATTAGTGATTAATAGCGAAGTAACTATAAGGCGCAAAGGGTAATAACTATGGACGGTGTCATTATGTCATTCAGTAGTTATATAATCGCAATCAAATTTAAGTTGATGATTTCATAGTCACTAACAGCGCCACATGAGGAATGACGGCGCTAATAATGGTTGTTACGGTCGCTAGAGGTAGATTGCTGGATGACGCTAATTAATCCTTAATTATAAAACATGTAATATTACAATGATGAAAAAAATAATGATAAAAAAGAAGTCGCTTATTTACATTACAAATAATATTCCAGAAGACAAAAAATGAATTGAGAAATAAGTGTCCAAAACATGATTTGTTATTACTCGCATGGTCAAATAGTGTTTTACGATCCTTTTATTTTTTCAATATCATATTCAGCATTAACTGCATAGTTACTACTTAGTAGAAGTATATATTTATGCATCCCTGATAGCCACTCATAACTAATAATCACTATAATTACAATACTTTCAAAGAAATTGGGAGTCACTAACATAATTACTTCTTATATATGTTCATCATTGCAAATGTAATCACTGACTTCATTTCTTGTCACCCAACCATTGTCAGTGACCTTAGCATGCCGCCCTCAGTTATCTCACCTCTTAATGATCCCTAAATTTCCAAGGCCATTGATGATCCCTAGGTGTCACTCTTAATAAACTTCTAACATTACCTTTTATGTCACTAAACCCATGTTTCCTAACAGGCAACGACAATGGACCTAAACATAGTGACGAGTCTATATCATATTTCAATAGTGACCTTATATTGCAAACGAGAAAGTAGGAGTGGAAACAGGCCAGACCAGGCGTTTGCCTAATGACTATTGATGCCTAAAGGTTAATTCTCTCCAAAAAGTTCAAAAGTCATTTTTTGGAAACTTGAATGAGAGTTGTGTTTTTTGAACAGAAAAAACTAATAGTAATATTTGTGGCATTTTTCAAAAGGAACATAAATGATATAGTTAGTCATTGCTTTGATCTCAATACAAGTCACATTTTTGTATTTTGTTTAATAATATTCACAAAAAGACTTCACTGATAAAATATATTTTAGTTTTTTCATAATTTAGCTGATTTAGTAATGTAAGTGTATTGAGTCAATTTTGCAAACTTCAGCATTGTTAAGTTATGTCTGATTCGATATCAACCATGGTTTTTAATTCAGTCACAATTTTGAATATCTTTATGTTGAAGAAAGTTATCTTAATTTTGAAGAAATCCAAAGTCCAAACTATAAAATAAATAAATAAATAAATAAATACAAAACCCAATGGAAACGTTAGTTCTGATACTTTTATTTTGAACGAATCTGGCTTAATTTATCATAACAGAACGAAAGCAGGTTACAAAGTGACAACAAGTCTTCTCTTTACCGTCCGCCCTAGAACCAGACTTTGAATTAATCACTTCCATAGAAGCAATATAACTCATTGATCCCGCTTTGGGCTTAACTGAGCCAATGACTTGAACACTAGAATGCTCGTCTCCTGTCCTAAGTTCTAAAGTTTTTTGCCGGAAAAACACAGCACAACCAAAACAAAGTACAAATCCAAAACGTGAAAAATAAAAAACAAAGTGCAAGCAAAATAAAAGTATCTTTCAGCTAACATAGATATCATCAGTCTCAGTAGCTCTCGCGGGTTGGGGCCAACACCCGCCCATATCCCGTTTTTGGGGTATCAAGAGCCATAGCTTCCCCCACTTCATCACCTTGTTCTTGTTCCTCCCATGTACGCATTCTCTCTAGCTCTCTTGGTCCTCCTTCCGACTGAGCCTCTCCTGGATTGGTAGGAGCCACCATCAACCTTGGTTGCTATCCCTTATATCATCTAGGTCCTACTCCTAGACATATTCATACGAATCTTGTTGTTGCCACTTGCTGAGGAGATTCCTTCCGAAACCAGCCACTTACTTCCCATAGATGGTCTAGTCCCATAAACGGCTTAGTCGATCTTTGTCCTCCTTTTTCATACAATAGAGGGCAAAATTTATATGCATGTCAAATGATTCCACATACAAACCAGAAACTTAAAAGTTTTTCATATTTAAATTTTAAAGTCAACCCAATACCCTTCCCCTTTGCTCTTCCTAATTGTAGTTCCAATTTTCAAAGGGTTTACCTACATTCATACAAACTCTAACCTTCATGTAAGGTTTCCATTTTTGATCAAATTGATTGTCATCCCACCCGACAAATTCTCCCAGATAACTCCAATTCTCCTAGCAATTCCAAGATTTGCATAACTATACAACACATTATGTGCCTATACCCAGAACTCAACCGAATCTAACGGGACCGTAAGCGGGATCTCCCCCGGCTAAATGTCCCTTAAAACTAGCAAATTCCAATCAAACAGCCAAGGACCGTTGTCCAGAACACGATTTATGTCAACAGAGTGAAAGAATTTAAAGAGATACTTCTTTTCTTCGATCCCCTTAATCGAAACGCCTTTGCCCGGGCGCCACAAGGATGCCATGAGATCCTTAATGATTTGAAACCGGACCACTTTATCCGTAAGAATCGTCCCTACCACCGGAAACTCCACCGATCGCTCTTCCCCCACCGCCGCATACCCTTCTTCTTCTTCGTCGAGCACCGTTTCGTCCGAAGCTTCGCCAATTCCCAGACCAACATACTTCTCGACCAGACTATCCACCGGTCCATCCTCCTCGCTGGGATGCTCTCGCTCTTCCCTCCTCAGTTCCTACAAAATGTTGTCCATAGGTCTTCACAACACCACGACGTTGATCCGCCCTAGAGTCCTTGTGGTTTGCTTGCTTCATGCCGCCGCACCGGAGGTTCGAACCCTAATAATCCTAATCTAAGGGAGAAGACCGCACCCCTCAATAAACTTTTATAAAAGTGGTACTTATTAAACCATATTATTTATAGCTCGTATTAGATTATAGTCCAAAACGAATCCGTGATCAACCTAGTATTGAGTTGCTTCCGGTACTTTGATATATACTCCGTACATAGTGTGTGAAGGTTTTCGTCTATTCTTGTCCGATTCAAGTATTCAAATGCGGTATGTTCTAGTAAATGTATGATGTGTGTACATTTTAGTATTGTCTAAGTATTGTTTCATCCATTTAAGTTTGGTATGCTATAGTATTTTTATGCTTGTTCATATCTTATATGATCTTGTCTGAAACTGAAATAAATTGATTTGAAAACATCCTTATCGTTCACTCTATCAAACAATCTTACAAAAATGCTTTTAAGCAGACAAAGGTATAACATGTAATCCAGAAACGAACATGTTTGACAATGAGAAACTCAAATTAGATATAAATATTACACGTGAATGGTTATAGGGGATAAGGTTGATACTGACAAAGTCGATTAAAGTTTCAAATGAATCAAATAAGCATAAACTTGACACTTTCTAGTCACTTTTATATGGCAAAAAATCTTAATTGATCTATTTAGCCGAGACCATCACCTTAAGGTGCGTTTATCCAGTACACCATCCCGAGAGAGCGTTGAAGCGATGCGCCCTCCCTCGGGTGCATTTTGCCTAAGCTCTCTATTAGATACGGAGTATGTGCTTTTCGGGGCTAGCTTAATCATATCGAGGGGGAGTCAGGAACTTAGGTTGGACTGAGCTGAAAGATTGTTATACTAGGTTTAAAGTAAAAGCATCGTGGCCAGAAGATTGTTATACTAGGTTTAAAGTAAAAGCATGCATATTTCGTTCTACGAACTTTCCGTAGAAGATTGGGGCTATAAGGCTATTCATGTAGCCATGGAAGGTTAACACTTGTAAAAAAAATCCTATAATTAGTAACATCTTGTCTCTCTTATAATATACTCTATCTGTTCCTTATAACTCTATCATATTTCTTTTGTTTAGTGTCCCAATAATTTTGCCATTTTATAATATACTCTCTCTGTTCCTTATAACTTTATCATCTTTCATTTTTTTATTGTCCCAATAATTTTGCCATTTTGCCAATTTAATAAAAAATTGGTTCATATAATTTCTTGCACAATTTCAATCACACAATTTTTTAAAGGAGGAATAGAGTATCTTTTTCTTTTATCTTCTTGTTCATGTTCTTGTTCAATCCCATTGACGAGTCATCGGAAACCTAGCGATTTCTTAAAAGCTTGCTTCAAGCCTTTCAAGATTGGTACCTAAGTTTTTGGAGTAACATCTAGAATTATGTTCCAACCTAGGTACGACAATCGGTTAGTCCAAATTCTTTAGTTTACTTGGTGAAAAATATGTTCTCTTATTTCCAACCGTGATTCCTAGTTAAACATATTCAGCAGGACAATTGACGATGGTATGTTTTATTTTCATTCGGAGATTGAATGAAAAAAAAAAACAAGATTATCAAACATAACCAAAGCAAACGGTAACCAACTGCCTCTTACCCATGCAATATAAAAGTTCAAAGTTAGCAGTCAAGAAGAACAAATACCCAGGCTACATGTATCCATTCGTTGACACAGAGCAACATAAAATGATACAACCATACCTTGCATGAAAAAGATACAAGTTTAAGACTGAGATATGACACATTAACAATATGATGAATGAATACAACAAGCACACCTCTAATGAGAGACAAAAAGGAGAACAGATCACAGCAGTGTAGTATACATAAATCAATTGTACATGAAGAGAAAAAAGAAAAAAACTTCACCATCGATCTCTTCTGCAAAAGTGCAGTAAAGAAGGCTATACTATACCTTGACAGATGTAAAAGAAGGGTGAAGCAATCCAAGGTCATCCCTGATTTCAAGAGGAGTGCTAGTCTCGTTTCGGATCCTCTTCACTCTCCGACTCTCGAGAGTCTTATGAGTGAACCCATACATTTGCAGGATCTGATTGTCCCCGAAATTGAAAGCCCGCTCCATCTGCTTCAAACACCTCTCTATCTCTACTTTATATTCTCCCATCTTTGAACACGGCTTGCAACCCACAAAGTGAGTCACCAATGGCCATCTATGGTCACCGAAGCCTGGGTGGTAATTGTCGATCATTTCTTCATACCTATCCACTAGAATTCCCCAATAGCCGTGCAAGAAGTAGAGATTCTCCAGAAACACCTTATCGCCCCACTTCTCCCGCTGTGTTGCCAGGAGATAAACCATAGCTGATTGGTCATCTGCTTCGAAAACAGGCCGACCCTTGAGCTCCTGGGTCAGTAATGCCCCAGCATCATCCCGGACCTTCCCCTTGGGCCCCATTGGAGCCAATTCATCAAGAAGATCCAATGACCACTGAGTGTTCCTTAGCAGAAAACTGCCTGTGTTCAATCCGATCCAATTCTTTTTCTCGTACACTTCATGACCCCAACCGTGTAGCACGAGGTTTGAGTCCTTGTACCTCTCCCATGGCAGCTCAAAGGCCATGTCAGTAAACATTGCATCACTGTCCATCCACCATAACAGTTCAACTTCTGGATGCGAAATCAGAAGCTTCCTCAGCAATGGCAGTTTGGCCCAAAAACCAGACATTTCTGGATCCAGCAAAGCCATGTTGTAGAATATCTCAATCCCGTGTACCCGGCAGTAGTCAATCTTGTTCTTAATCGATTTCAACAGGTAATGGTCTCCAATGGGGTTCTCGCATGGTTTTGGAGACGACCCGGTGACTAACAAAACCCTAGGTTTATTGGGTCCCAAGAAATTAGGGAAATCAGGATTCGTTTTCAACCACTCCGCTCTCTGCTCGTCCCAATCAGAAATCTTGGGGCCGAGACTGTACGGCTCGTTCGGATCCCTTGTGAATTCGGGTGCCCCATCATCCTCGTCAACCACAACCTTCCCAAGATCAAACTCTTTGTAGCTATGGATGTCAACCGACCCGGAATCGGCGTTGCTGACATTACCTCCGCCAGTGACGTTAACTAGCTCCGCTTCTTCAAGGACGCGGCGCGGCTCGGCCCGCTTCCTGTAGTAGCTCAAAGTTTCTGCGATGTCTTTGAGATCCTTCTCGGGGGTGCCGAACTTTCCGGCGCCGAGATTGCCACGCAGGACGACGACGGTGAGGACGAGGCAGAAGAGGGTAACCTTTCCATTGCGGAGAATCCGCCGGACTTGCCACGCCTTCCTCGCACTCAAGAACCGATCTAGCATCTTCTATACCCCCAAATCTCAGCTTGGGATCGGAGCTCCAGAAGCTGAAGTTGAGGTAAGAGATTTTAGGTCAGATTTCTGCGGAATCGATAATTGAAGTGTCTGGATATTCGGAAAGCTGGCATAAGGAGATCTCGTGGAAGTTTATGCGGAAGAGTTGTCGGTGAGGATAAAAAACGGTGCGTTTGTTTGATGGGAAGTAAAATGGGTGGGAGTAGTAAACTGGTACAAATCCCCGTATATTGTCCGAAGGGTTCTGGGAATTTTAGTTCCCGTTTGTGGGGGCCGTGGGCGGGAATAGGTGAAGGGATTGGAGAAATGTGAGTAATTTCAAGAAAAATGTTTTTAGCCCATTTAAATATACGAAGTACTGTTTTTTGTTTTGTTTTATGTCTTTGAAAAAAAACATCTTTGAAATTCATATCACTTTTCTTTTTAGCCGTTTACTTATCATATCAATCTCCTTTTATCAACTAAACAACTATGAGACCAATTAGACTGGTGAGGTATTAGGAGTCCAAAATGTTAAAAATGAAAATTATGGACTCCTAAATCATTGTAGTGATTGGCTAAATGGGGGAGTAAAATGGTGAGAGTATATATGAAGAGTGTAGAAGGAGGGAGACTAAAAAAGGGTGAGGCGGCACATGTGGTGCGCAAAGGGAGGAAAGGTCAGTGGGCCATGTGGGATATGAGACGAAATTATTTAGGGGTTGATGTTAGGATGACTTCATGCTGATGTCATAGAACACTAATTTTTAAAAATATTGGTAGATCCAACGGTTGTGATGATTTGGACACTGTTTGAACGGGAAAAAAATTGATCCAACGGCTGAAATTAAAATCCAACGGTTAAAATAATTTATTTTAGTTTTCCGTTATTTTACTCACGGCTATTGGAGCTTGTTGCAACCAAAGAAGCCAGCAAAGCCATGCACATGCAGTCGGAGTAGGCTTCTTCATCTTCATCTTCATCGACGAATTTGTAAAATGCGGGAAAAGAACTCATGATTTTATTTGGCCTTCTAGTAGGATACTTGAAAACAGGAGAAGTAAAGATGAGGTGTGTGACTCCGATGTCAAGTAAAACCATGTATTTATTTATAATAATATAGTTCTTTGATGCTCACACCAAGTGTAGGATACATCCAATTTATTATGTTTGGATACACTAAGTGGAGAATAGCATCCAATGTGCTATGAAAGGACACACATAGTGGAAAAGAGAATTCAATGTCATATAATGTGATATGAATGACACACATAATGGAAAAAAGAATCCAAGGTGATATGAATACACACATCAAGTTGAACAGGGAATCCAATGTGTTATGGATAGACACACAAGTTTATAAGAGAATCCAATGCTCCAATGTGTTTGAACTCACTTCATCGAAAAACGTAAAAAAAATGTTAATGAAATTTGTATTTTAAATCGAAATGTGTCATTTTTATTTTATAATTAATTAGAGAAAAAAAATAAAAGAAAAACATTACTTGTAATAATTTAATTAATGTTCTACTAAATTGATATGTAAAAAATGTGAAGAGTGTATTTTATTAAAGGTGCTGGAATGCAGATAAATAGTAGTCAAAACAACGTTTTCATATGGACGAAGTCCATTTTTGATATTTAGACTCTCCCACCACTCCAAATGCTCTGACTAATAAAACTGTGTGATTTTATATGTGTCTATTTTTCTATATGATAAAATAAAAATAAAAACGTGGATGCTTGGATTTACGTGTTTTTACTCCATTATTAATCTCTAGTAAATAATAAAATGGTGAGTTTAAAAGTTTCTAGTTTAATAACGTAACTAACATTAGTTTTAGGTTATAAAATTTAAGTTAATTTTTTCTCTAAAATGGTATGAGAGTTAGGGAGACGAAAAGGAGAATAGTGCATATTAAATTGAATGAAGAATAAAGATTTTATTTTAAGAATTCTAAAATAAAATGAGTTATATTTGTCTGAACTAGGAACATATTTAATCCTTAAGAAGAATATGATTTATCTAAAGCGATTTGAGGTATAAATAAACTTCTAAAACTCTTTTTATAATATCATTATATGTATACTCTAGAATACTGATAACATGTAAATTAACACCTGACAAAATTTAACGTAGATGCTTGTGTATCAACTATTAAAGTAAAAGAAAGTGTTTCAACTTACCTGGTCGCCGACTCACTCTCTCATACGAGAAGTATCAAGTTCGAAACTCTATAGAAGAAGTTTCAACTCTGTTTCTTCCCGTCCCTCATCCTCCCATCCCCTAAGCCAGTAACCCCCTAGTGTAAACAAATGAACTATGAAATTAAAAATGAACTGTAAGGAGTGTCACCAACAACGGAGTGTCGCCCCCGCTGCTAGATTGCCACCACCATCGGGGTGCTGCCATAATTAGAGTATCCTTGATGTATCGGGGGAACTAGGTAGGGCAATTAACTATGTCAGGAAGAGTAATTTTGGAATAATATTCATAAATATTTAGGGAATAGAGATATATCTACTCATTATTTGAAATTTTAGCAATATTTTACTCCTATTTGTAAGAATATCTCTTGTTTACCTTAGCAAGTAGAAATAAAAGGGCCCTTATAAATTGGGGTTTTAGAGCATCTACAATGGTTAACTAATTACCCTTATGACTTGACTAGCAACATAAGCATTTGAAGTAAAATTAAAATGAAATCCAATGGTTAGTTGTAACTTTTACCTATTAGCTTATCATTAATAATGTTATATTTAATAACTTTTATTTCTCAAGTTAGTATCTCGCTATTCGCTCAAATGGTAAGCTATTGGTTTTAAAATTGCAAGCAAGTCCTCTGAATAAATCATTGGAGATGCTCTAAAGTTCCTCACCCTCAGATTACTCAATTGCATCCTTCAAATAAAAATAAAATATATTACATTATGGTTTTGTGGTTATTAATTTGGAATTATTTGATCACAAGAACTTTTAACACCGATGAATCATACTTCCTCTGTCTCAAGTTCAATTGCAAAATTGATTTTTTTAGTCAAACATGTTCATTTTATTCACTTAATTATGATATCAATATCAATATCAATTCTTGAGTAAATTTTAATTTGGATTTTGCAACTTTATAGATATTTTATTTTAATGTAGTTTCTGAATATGTACATTTTAATTATTAAAACCGAATTAATTATCAATAGGGGTGATTTAACGAAAAAATGTTCACTTTACAAAAATAATTTGGGGCGGAGGTAGTATGATTAATGTTGATCTCAAGTAAGTTTAAATGGAAAGCATCTCAGTAAATGGTTATCAACAGGGCCGGCCCTGAGGGTGTGTAGGGTGTCCAACCGCACAGGGCCCAAAAAATTGGAAGGGCCCAAATTTTTTTGTAGTAATATGCTACTACCTTGGTCCCAAATTAATGTGCAAATTTGACTTTTCTTGGTCAAATAATTTCATTTTATTTGCTTAATTAGGATGTCAATTTTTAATAATATTCTAATTTGGAATTTACAACTTTGAAGAGATATTAATATAGTTTCTGAATATTTAATTTTAATTATTAAAAATGGAATTAATTATCGATAGGGAGCATTGACTTTTTTATTGATTGACAAAAAAATGTTAATTTTGCAAAACAATATGGGACGAAGGGAGTAGTATTACTTAGGATGTTTTTACTTGGACTGTAATTTGCTGGTCTGGTCTGATCTGGTCTGGTCTGGTTTCTTTGTATTTTTATAACTATCCAAGTCTGGTCTGGTCTGAGAGGAATTACAGTCTAAGTAAAAACATCCTTAGAGGTGGAGCGTATATATAGGAACCAAGGAGTACTAAATCTTTCGTTTTCATCGGTGTGGGGATCTTAAGCTTTAGAAACTAAAAAGTTAAGAAGCGAAGCATGCGGGATTCGAACCTAGGTGAAAATAAAATCATGCACGTTGATCTCTAAACATCAACCCATTGGACCGAATCAGCTAATTGTTGAAATAAGGACGTACAAGCTTTATATTACCTATTTGTTCTACAAAATAAATAATTAAAAATACCTCTTAATAAAAACCGGGTTGGTTCGGTTTGAACCGATTTTATAACTCAAAAAACCTTCATTAAACCGATTTACGTTCGAGTCCCGACTTTCGAGTCCCGTTTGAGTCGGTGCGGTTTCGGTTCGATTTTTTTACCTTGTGTTGAAACTTTGAAAAGAATACCCAATTATTTTTGTTGCACATGACCTTCATTTCTTCAGGACCGGCTCTGGTTATCAATGGGCTCAAATTAGTCAACTGGATAATATACTCATATAGATTATTAATAACTTTTTAAGGACATGTATATCAAATAAAATTATACTACATCCATCCCTTTGAAAGGTACTCATTTCAAAATGGCACGATTATTAGACATCAATTAAATAAGTTAATTCGAGTATATTTTGATTAAAAAAAATTGATAAGTATATAATATAATGGGTTTAATGTTGATAATTAATTGTGATGTTATGAATACATTATTCTTAATATTTGATGATTAAATTATCGTTTAAGAGTGTTAATTGTTACCTAAAATAGAAATGAGAACGTTTATATGGAACAACTAAAAAGGGAAAATGAAAACTTTTATATGAGACCAATGTGTGTATATTTTGAACAGACAAACAAATTTATCACGTTTTCTTTTCAAATGTTCACATGACGCTGGCATATATACATATTTAAGATGTTAAAAATATCACATTAAATTGGTCAACATCCGGCGCTATATGTTTCTTATTACATTTTTGTTTAATTGAAGTTGACAATTTATAATTTAAAAACATGGAATAATGGGTGTTACGAATATAGGGTATTATAATTGATTTTTTTCTACTTTTTTTAAGCAGAAGCAGTTTTCCAGAAGCTTATCTCCCACAACTTCTAAAAAACTGCTTTTATGAGCAATTCGAAGTATCCGGAAATACTTTCGCGCTTTCACCTAAAGACTTTGATATATGTTTATGCTCTTTGAAGAGGTAGAAGTAATTTTAACAAATAGATCTAAACACTCTTAATATATGTAGCACAAATGTATCCAAATTGGATGTGAAAAATACTCATGAAGTATTATTACTAATACAACTCACATTACATAAAATATATCAAACATTTGAATATGCCTTGACAAAGTTCAGACCAGGATATTGTATTTAAATAAACATTAATATTCAATAAAACTCTAAGCTGGGAGAAGCGGATTGTGCTAGCGAAGGTCACCACTTCCGCCTAGGTTTTTTCTGGCGGCAATCAATTGATTGTCGTGTTGGAATAAATCCATGAATACTTTAATCTTCATATTGAAACTATCTAGAGAATTAACTGAGCGGAAGCGTACCTGACTCCATGGAGATGATCTTTAGGGATCCGGGAGACGGGGGCTAGGGTTTGCGTCTTCTAGTTGATACACACCCTAGGGATTATCTCTCTAGCGATGTGATGCAGAAAGACGGAATGTCGTGTTCAACTAGGGACCATAACCCTTTATTTATAGAGAGTGCTTAACCCTAATCAGTCCATCATTGATTAGGTCAAGCCCATGGGTCTCTACACATTTGGGCCCTATACCTTATTAGATAACTTATTAGCCCACTTAAATTAATATCCATAGGACCACTAATTTTTTTGGGCCTAAATATAAGATAGCATATAACATACAATTAAACCCGATAAATAATATATTGTGAATATTACATGCAATATAAGTCCAGTAATCTAACAATCTCCCACTTGGACGACATACACATGTATACACAATCCTCAGAATTGTATGTTTACTTTAGGAGCTCCAAAATTTTGCTATCAAACTGTAGTCATCTTTAATCAATCCGGTCCATTAATTATATCAACATA